TGACATGAGTATGGAAATTTCTTGTGAAGCGATACCCATGACTAAACTCCAAAACTTTTTCATCTTTCCAAATTGAAACCCCACTGAACAGTAGCTCCATGTTCCCCTCTCCTCCCAGCCGCTGGTAACCATCATTCTATATTTTTTTTAAAAATTGAATTTATTGGGGTGACATTGGTTAATAAGTTCATATAGGTTTCAAGTGTACATTTCTGTTACATCATCTGTATATCACATGGTGTGCCCACCACCCAAAGTCAAATCTTCCATCACCATATATTTTATCCCCTTTATCCTTTTATAGCCCCCACTTTCCCTTCCCTCTGGTAACCACCACACTCTTGCCTGGGTCTATGAGTTTTTGTTTGTTTTCTTGTTTGTTCATTTGATGCTTTTAGTTTTACATGTCTCTGTGAATTTAAGTACTATGGGTGCTTCACAGAAGTATAATCATACAATATTTGTCCTTCTGTGACTGGCTTATTTCAGTTAGCATATTGTATTCAAGGTTCATTCATGTTGTAGCAGGTATAAGAATTTATCGTTTAGCTTTTAATTTTAAGATTGTTATTATCCATATGTATTAGTGTCAACGACGTTCATAGAATAATGTTGAGTGCAAAAAGATATGTAAATGTCATGGATAGAATGACTCTGTTTATGTAAAATTATGAATGTGTCTAAACATATATCAAAAGAGGGGGCAAAATGAGAAAAGAATATAAAAGATATGACTAAATAGTAGTCATTGCATGATCAAGATTGAAGGAAATTTTGTTTTCTTCTTCAAACTTTATTCCCTTTTTTATTGTATTTGCTATGTCATGCACTTTTTAAAACAAAATAGACAAACAAACAAACAAAAAAAACAGTAAAAAAAAATAAATGTACATGATATCCAAGAATGCAGTGAGCTCGAGGCTACCAACCAGGCTTCCAGGTTCTAGCTTCAGGCACAGAATCAAGCATGTTCTGTACCCCTTGGGGATGAGAACTGAAAAATACAGAAAGGAATTCAGAAGTATAGAGACTTTTAAAAATCCTTATATTGGGGTCAATCTTTGGGTTTCTTTCTTCCCAATTTTCATTCTTTATTTTTTTTTTATTGTAGTAAAAATACTTAACATAAGAGTTACCCTCTTGACAGCTTTTTAAAGGTACAATGCAGTATTGCTATCTATAGGCACAATGTTGTCCAGCAGACCTCTAGAACTGATCTTGCAAAATTGAAATTTTAGACATGTTGTACAGAAACTCCCCATTTCCTCCTCCCAGATCCTGGAAACCACCATTCTAGTCTTACTTCTACGAGTTTGACTATTTTTCATACCTTATATAAGTTAAATCATGTTGTGTTTGTCCTTTTGTGACTGGCTTATTACATTTAGCACAGTGTCCTCAAGGTTAGCCTTAAATGAAAAAGGAAATCTTGCTATATGTGACAATATGGATGCGGGTTGATAGACTGGTTATTAAGACTAGAAAGAAGAAGGGGGTCTAAATGGCATATTCAGGCTATTAAACCACAGGAGCAAGGCAGTAATCAAGTTATCAGAATATGGGAACAATTCTGGAGGTAGAGACATCAACCCACATTCCCTAAGGTCAGAAATGTGCTGTGGATGAACATGGAGCTGATGAATGGCAACCAGCGGACTTCAGCTACGAGGGAAGAAGGAAAGGATGCTGGGGCTGAGGACTGTGTGTAGCTGGACAGGCAGGCCCCAACCTACAGTATAGAGAAAAGCTCTGGCATCAGACTGCTTGGGTTCCAATCTTTCCTTCACTACAGGCTAGATATACAATCTTGTGCAAACTATTTAACATTTCTAAGCCTCCTTTTTTTTTACTCTGCAGAATTCAAGGACAAATAGCATCCATGTCTGAGAGTCACTGTGTAGATTAAATGAAACTCCATGCAAAGCACTCAGTAGGGTGCCAGACTCATAGTGGGTGCTCAATAGTGTTAGTAATTATTATCATTTTACCAAAAACTTGTTTGATTTGGAAATCTAGAATCTCTCCAAACCTGATGACTTTCCTACTTCTCTGGCTTTAAAGATGTGCTAGAAGAGACCTGGAACCATCCACAACGTCCTCGTCCCAGCTCTTGTATGGGGATTTGATGTCAACAGTATTCCCTCCTTGTTCATGTAGCTTCACCCATACTTCTGCCCAGATTCCAAAATACCCCCAGATGATAATTATCTCCATAGACAAGGAGACCTTTATTTTATTTTCATTTTTATTTATTTATATATTTTTTATTAATTTATTTTTGTTACAGATGTTTCTCCTTTTTCACCCATTGACACCCTCCTCCCCATCCCCCCTACCCTGTCCTCAGCTTTGTTGTCCGTGTCCATCGGTTATGCATACATGCATATAAGTTCTGTGGTTTATCTCCCCCCCACCCCCTCTTCTGAGGGTTGTCAGACTGTACCCTACTTTCATGTCTCTGGGTCTACCCTGTTCCTCAGACTGTTATGTTCATTATATTCTACAAATAAGTGAGATCAAGTGATATTTGTCTTTCTCTGCTTGGCTTGTTTCACTTAGGATAATACTTTCCAGGTCCCTTCATGTCATCTCAAAGGATAAGAGATCTTTCTTTCTTACAGCTGCATAGTATTCCATTGTGTATATGTACCACAACTTTTTTATCCATTCACCTACTGATGGATACTTGGGCTGTTTCCAGAACTTAGTTATTGTAAATAGTGCTGCTATGAACATGGGGGTACATATATTCTTTCTGAATGGTGTTTCAGGCTTCTTAGGGTATATTCCTAGAAGGAGTAGAACTTGGGTAGAGGTCACTAACCTCTTATTGAGTAGACCACCGATACAGACCACAGAAGCACGACAAAGGGCACTCATGTGCTTCACCCCATTCTACTCGTCACAAGAGTCCTTCTTGTTGGCATGATTGCCCCTATTTTATAGGTAAAGGAATTGAAGATGAATGAGGGGAATTAGCCTGTCTGTGGTCAGCTAATAAATATCAGAGCTGGAATTCCAATGAGTTTTACATATAACTAATATGTACTGAGAGTTTATCACATGCCCCACTCTATGTTGAGCCCATTACATGCATCACCTCATCTAACCCTTACCATGAACTATGAGTTGGCTAAAATAACTTGCACATGGCAAGTTTAGTAATAATTGGTGGTTATAGAATATAAGGCATAGGACTGGACTCTAAGACACATGCTCCTATGTGCAACTAGATGCTGAGGCCATGATTCCCAGCCCAGTGACCTTTTCCATCTCCCCAGCTAGTCACAAGAATGCGGATGCTAGTTCCAATCTTTATATGTTACACACTCCATTTAAGAGAGCCTAGAGCCATACCTACAACACCAAGATATCAAGGTGAGGCATCAGGGAACAAAACTGTGGCAACATCAGATCATCACAAGCCCTTATCCAAACTATGGCCTTCAACAGGGGTAATGTTGTGCTGAGAACAGATCTGGGGAGCAGCTCAGTGGCTGAACTCTGCTGCTGACACCACAGAGGCCCAGCAATGCTGCTGAGTTTGTGGACAGCAGACAGCTTGCTGCTTGAGTCTACAGCGGGAACTACCAATGTTAGGAAGGAAGAAAGGGGCAGATGAGGAGAATTAATGTGGTATTGAGAAAAATATCACAAGCTTCAGAGCCAGATTGAATTGCTTCAGACACTTTCCGGTTATGCAACTATAGGCTAGTAATAATTTTATTTGCCACCATGTATTAAGCACTTTCGATGTGTCAGGCCAAATACTTTGTGTGACTATTTCATTTAATGAACATCACTTGAGCTTATTAGTTCTGAATTTCTAATGTATAAAGTGGATTTAATAACATCTAAGTTGTTATAAGAATTAGAGCTAGTGCACAGCCAGTGTGGCTCAGTGGTTGAGCATCAACCCATGCACCAGGAGGTCACCAGTTCAGTTCCCTGCCAGGGCACATGCCCAGGTTGTTGGCCAAGTCCCCAGTGGGGGGCATATAGGAAGCAGCCAATTGATATTCTCTCCCATCGATGTTTCTATCTCTCCCTACCTCTTCCTTCCTCTTTCTAAAATCAATAAAGAAAGAAAAAATAATAATTAGAGCTAGTATGACCCAGTGCCTGGAATTCATCAGGAGTTAAATAAATGTTCATATTGACAATTCCTTTTTTTTTTTTTTTTTTGTACATGCACCAAACTCGGGACTCTCTGGTCCGCAGGCTGATACTCCAACCGCTGAGCCAAACCAGCCAGGGCTCATATTGGCAATTTTTAAGCTAATATAAGCAATGGGTCATACTAGGTGGTACAGGAAAGGCATGTGGAACAGGATTAATCAATATTTAAAAAAAACCACAAATGTGTTTTTATTGATTTTTTAGAGAGAGAGAGTGGAAAGGAGAGATAGAAACATTGATGTAAAAGAGATACATCAATCAGCTGCCTCCTGCATGCCCCCTACTGGGAATTAAACCACGACCTCTCAGTCCATGTAAGGCAATGCTCAATACACTGAGCCACACAGGCCAGGCAATATCTTAATGGAAATAAAATAAGACAATGATGGGAGAATGAGCAGTATTGGTGTAGCATAAAGGACCTACCCTGGGAAGTGTTGTGTGGGAATGTGCTACAGGTAAAGCAGAGGTACAGGAGAAGGGGAGGGAAGCTGGAAGTAGAGAGAGTAAAGTGAATACACTCAAGATTTCAAAGCAAATTCTGTGTGAAATGTCTGCTTCGCAGTTCTGTGAGAACTGCAAATGTTCACAGTTTTCTCCCAGGGACAGTCTTCCTGTCCACAATGAATGGACTGTGTCAAACATGCTAGCTTTCCAATGCTTCCCCTGCTCTCCACATTCAGTGTTGTTCCTGAAAGGACACGTCATCCCTTGGACAATGGAGAAAAATCTTAAGTTCCTGTGAAGACTGGTCCCTGGGAGTTTCGTGTCATTAAGTCAAACCTTGGTTCCTAACTGAGTTCACTGCCTCTTCCAGCATCATGCTACCGCAGCCCAAGGCCAGGGAAGCCGTTGACTCCACGCCGAAGGACATCATCATCCCCCAAAGAGAGAAACCCGGATACATCGACCAAGAAGAAGATGAACTGCAGAATGATATCCAAGAAGAAGCCACGGTTCTTGGAGTAAGTTCACCTCATTATAAGAAAAACACGGAGGAAATATTATGAATGTAGCCTGACCACAGATCTACAAGGAATCTGGGAGAGTCTTGCGTTATTTCTGTCCGATTCCAGGCTAACTGGGACATGAAATGGGGCTTTATGGGAAGGCTATGTCCTCCCCGGACCTTTCTGTAAACTAACAAAAATCACCAGGTCTTTTCCACTTGAAATCCACACATAAAGTCTATTGTAAATTGTCCTATAGTAGAGATATTGATTTAACTGTATGATTTTACTCAATATGATTCAATTAGGTCATCTTATTTTGAGCTCATTTCTTACAGATTTTAAGGTGAGATGATCTGAACTAACCTCACCACACATTTCTCCCTGTTGACTTGGATAACTATGACCTGGATAACTAAGACTTAGATAACTATGACCTGGATAACTATGACTTGGATAACTGACTTAGATAACTATGACTTGGATAACCAAAAGACACCCTATTGTCCTAGCTCCTCATCCTTCAGATCCAGAACTTTAATTCCCACATGGTTCTGAATAGACTTGTATTTATTTATTTATTTATTTATTTATTTATTTATTTATTTATTATTTATTCCTTACCTGAGGACTCTTTTGCATTCCTCTTCAGCTAGAGTGAAAAGGAGAGAGGGAGAAAGAGAGAGAGAGATACACTGATGTGAGAGAGACACATCAACTGATTGCCACCCACACTACCCCAACGGGTGCAGGGACAAACAGCAACCGAGGTATGTGCCCTTAGCAGGAACTGAACCCGGGACTCTCTGGTCCACAGGCCAATGCTCTAACCTCTGAGCCAAACCAGCCAGGGTTTGAATAGCCTCTTTTAAGATCCAACTCCTACTCAGTCCCAGTTTTGGAAACCTGCCCAGTTTTGCCCTCTGTAATTCAGGGTTAGTTAACAGCATCATTTACTTTATCCCCCAGTCTTTTTCTCAAAGGCCTCTTTATTTGCAAACAAAAATCTGGCCCTGAGGGAAACGCTTCTACTGCACCCCTAACTTCCGGGCACAGAAGTGACAGCAGTGTCTTCTTAGCTTTTCATGGACACCTCCCCCTTTTTAAACAAACAATGAAATTGGTCTTTCTTTAGAAAAATAATTTGATGAATATGTTGCTTGAAACTAAAACCCATTAATGTTCCTCAATCTCCTATTATTTAGCAATATCAACTCCTTAATTCTTTCAAATAACTGATGCCATGCTGACTTGCCTTTTCATTTTGAAGAAATCCCTTTTTCCTAGAGCTGATGCATCCTACAATACAGCCTATACATAGCCTACAAACACATTTTAGTTTGCTTCAGCAATCAGTAATAGGCATTGTTAATATGTTTATTTATTCATGCATTCTTCTATCTTTAATTGAGTACTTTCAATGTGCCGGCACTATTTTACACATTTAGGACAATCAGTGACTATATAGCTAAAAGAAAAGAGAATGACATTCTCGTAGTCTTTAAGAAATAAAGTTATGCCCTGGCCAGTTTGGCTCAGTGGTTAGAGCATCAGCCTGCAGACTGAAGGGTCGCTGCTTCAATTCCTGTCAAGGGCACGTACCTGGGTTGTGGGTTTGAACCCCGGCCCCGGTCAGGACCATGCAGCAGACAACCAATCGATGTGTCTCCCTCACATTGATGTTTCTCCTTCTCTCCCCCTACTTCCTGTCCACTCTATCCAAAAATCAATGGAAAAAATATCATCAGGTGAGGATTAACAACAACAACAAAACATTAAAGAGATAAAGACAAATTTCAGTGCATTTCTTCTTTCACTCTCCCAGATAATTTACCTTTTCCCTTCATGATATTGACTCCTCAATCACTATCACTCCCTCCAGTAAATTTCTATCATAAGCCTTGGCTGTTTCAATATTCACGTTTATGATTCTTCCACAATCATATCCTCTTAGTTCCTTGACCTCTTCTCCCCAAGTATCTTATCCATACTTCCTTAAACAAACAGTCTCCAAGTTTTACCCTGGACCTTATCAATACTAACAGCAGTAAACCCATCTTTATCAACATTTCCAGCATCCCATACTCCAACCATCAACTCTAATCTTTCCAGATCACTCCCTCTAACTGTATATTAACTGTAACTTTCTTTAATCTCACTGAGACTTATTGATAATATCTCTTTTTCAGAGAGTCTTACTTCCTTATTGTCATTTCCTTCTTTACCTAGCCAAGATCTTATAGTTCACTATCTCTTGTGATGCTCTCAACAGCTTCATATCCATATAGCATAGTCTCCAGGAAAATCTATGACATTGATTTAATCCTAACTCTGTCCATTTTCTTACTTTACAGCTGAATCCACTCAACTCACCTTAGATACACACACACACACACACACACACACACACACACACACACATACACCCTTCTGATTTATAACCATAACCTCAAGTGGACTAAAAAAGCTGCCTAAAAATACATATTTCTTTCATTCATTCACTTTCCTATTATCCCAGAAGACAATTTCATGCATCCTTTTCCCTCAAATCTTTTGTTTCTTCTCCATTTATTACCTTGCTTCCTATAATACTAAAAAATTGAGGTAATATGGATAGAATGTCCATAAGCTACTGTACAGCTACAGTTATTCATATCTGGGCCTATATATTCTTTCTTCCCACCCCAATTACTAAGAATAACACGACAACCCTCCCTTTGTGTAGTAAATCCCATCTTTTAGCAATTGCTCCAGTAATTCTCCCTATTCTCTCTGCAAAATTTTAAGTCAATTCCATAAGCACAGAATTTTACTTCAATTTTTTCTATTTTGAAAACAGGAAAAGCACAATCAAATACTTATGAGTTCATACTCTCTCCAGCCAATACCCCATTAACTTCCCAGCAACTCTCTTCTAAAAGGTAGGAAGTCAATGTCTCCAATTACTCTTGAATGAAATTCTCTCTTAAATCATATTGAATGGCCTTTGTCCCCGTTGCTCCACATTACTAACCCAATTTTTAAATCTCTATTGGTAATTTTAATGAACGTGTTTGATGCAGTTGACCACTCTCACCTACCTGAAACGTTCCATTCGCTTGGCTTCTTGGATATCATATTCTTCTGGTCTTTCTCTTTCCTTCTTGGGTGCTCTATGTATGCTCCTTTACAGTTTCTATGAATTTACCTGATCCTAAATTTGGAGTGATCCATAGTTCAGTCGTTGCTTCCATTCTTTTCTATATCTGCAGCAATGGTGACCTCATCCAGTACTATGACTTTAAACATTATCTCTACTATGAGTTGGAGAAAAAAAACTATATCCCTTGCCCAGATCTCTTCCAAGCTTAAGACTTATGTACACAAATATTTATGTACATCTCTACTTGGATATCTACTAGACATCTCTTCTTTAATCTGTCCAAGACTGAAATCCTGATCCCCCTCCACAAACCCACTCCTCATACAATATTTCCCATCTCAGATCAGTGCTGACTCCATCATTTCAGAAGCTCAAGCCAAAACTCTTGAAGGCAACCTGCACTCCTCTCTTTCATAATCCACATTCAAACTTTCAGCAAACCCTATAGGTTTAATCTTCATAGTTCATCTAGAATTCAACTACTTCTCACTATCTCTACTATCAAATTTTCTTTTAAGTTAAGATCATCTACATGTAAATTATTGCAATACTCTCTTTATTGATCTTCCTGCCCTGTTTCTTTACCATCTGTTCTTAACAGAGCATGTAGAATAATCTTTTAAAAATAGAAACTAGCCCTGGTTGGTGTGACTTGGTTGGTTGAGCATCACCCTGTGCACCAAAAGGTTTCAGTTTTTATTCCCCATCAGGGCACATGACTGGGTTGTTGCGGGCTACATCCCCAGTAGGGGGCATGCAGAAGGCAGCTGATCGACGTTTCACTCTCATGTCATTGTTTCTCTCTCTCCCTCTTCCCTCCTCTCTCTCTAAAAAATAGACTGGATCATGGAATCTTTTTGCTCAAAATTATCCAAAGGGCTTCTCTTTCTACTCAGAATGAAAGACAAAGTTGATAAAATAGCCCACAAAGCCCTACATAGTTTACATCATGCCCACAGTACATCTTATGTCTCATTTCCTTCTACTTTGCTCTTAACTCATGCTACTTTTTAAGAAAGTTGTCTGTAAAGGACACTGTACATGGCAAAGATTTTTATTTGCTTTATTCCCCTGATGTCTGGCATAAAGTAAATATTGAATCAATTAATGGTATGAATGGTTGAATTCTCTTGACTTCAGGTTACTTCTCCTACATTGGCATCGTTATTCAATTGCATACACATTAAACTGCGAGTAGATCAAACTAATATGGCTTAAATCCTAGTTCTTCCACTTGGTCATTTGTGTGGGCTTGTACAAGTTATTTTAACTCCTGGTGTCTCATTTTTCTTATGTGTGAATAAGATGCAATAAATAACCAGAATGTAGAAAATGTTCATCAAAGGTAGACTGTTATTATCCTCATGGGTGTCCTAAAAATAGTAATTATTATTAAAATCCAATGATGAATAAGATGAGATGAATGACAGCACTAAAGTATTCCTGCTCTATTTTATTTCCATTGAAAATGAGTCCTTTATTATCACTCCCTTGGTAAGTTTGCTTTCTATATGCATCTAACTGTACTGCTGTCTACACAAAATAATTTCTCCATCCATTTCTCCTAGAACCACAAAAAAAATGTGTCAACTAAGTTTTTCAAAATAAAGTTAAAATGTACATATAATCACTCCCTGATTTGCTAGTTTAATAATCCTATCAGAAAATAAAAATTGTTAGTAATGCATGAATTTCTCTTAGAGAATGCCTATTGGCTCCTTGTAACACCTTATTTTCCTTTTTAATATGACAAACGGTAACATGTTAATACTCTTTATAATTCACAATGTACATTCAAGGGCCACTTTTTTTCTATGTAAAGTGTATTCTAGTGTTTTCCCTCTTGTCTCTTGTAGAGCATCCATATCCTGTGTTGCCTGGTGATTTCAAGTTTTGGGGCTATTTTGGATTTTTCTTCCTACTCTTCCCACCTCAAGCCAGCAGTTTCCACCATGTTGATGACTGGGTACCCATTTGTAGGAGCTCTGTGTGTGAGTAGGGTGGGGTCTCCAAAAGGAGATATGCTTTATAAATGCTAACAGGGTGCTAAGTCATGGATTAACTCAGTCCCAAGAGGTAGGAAGAGAGAAGGAAAATGCTAAGGCCTCCAATTTTCCCTGTGTTATCATCCGGCATCATGTCTCTGCAATTCAGGAAGAGCAGAGAAGGGTTTAATGTGTAGTCCTGTGTGAGCATCCCAGGGAGTGAATGGATGGGACAGAAGGCAAGAGGGCAATGCAATGGGCACACCAGCATTTATCACCTGGCCTGACAGTGTACCTCTGGAAAAGCAGAAGGTTTTTCACATCCTTTTTTGGGCCTTTAATGAGGCCATTGGCTTCCCTCCAGTTTAAGAATAATCCATCTGTCAGGTGAGAATGAAAAGGTTATTTTTTCAATAAAATGAGCACCACTGGTAGATGCCACAGGTTTTCAGAGGATTAAGCCAGCAATGATAAGATTCACAGGAAGCAGGTACTCTTGCTACATGTTCAGAGACAATCCCGAGCACTGGGAAAGCTTGTTTGCTGCCTTCCATGCAATGGCTCATGAAGAAGGGTCCTTTCTTTGGACACTAGCCAGGGCCTAGTCATACCTCCCACACACATTTCTTTTCTATGTAGCATCCTGTACAAAGGAGGAAAAAATCACACATTCCAGGCAGATGCATTTTATCAAGGCATCACCTCTGTATGGATACAGTCCTTGTGTGGACACAAACCATACAGTGATGCAAAAAGGCCTTCTCCTGCACCCAAAGCATACTTTGCCCTTGACTTTTCTATCTAGCCAGTATTTGTGGTTTCCACGTTAGAATTAAATCATGCTGGACCCTCTTTGTTTGTGACAACCAAATCCCTAAGCCACAGCTTAACCAACATTTTAGCTTCTTAGAATACCCTTCTTCCACCAGCTGGATCCTTAACACCACTGAGACCAAATAATGACTTCTGGGGCTTCATGACAAAAGATTCTCCACATCTGACCCTGTACTTCCCACTTTCCTCCAGTCCTAGTTGAACTCAGACCACCTGCACCAATGGCCTGAAGCCTGAGTGCGTCTGCACCCCGCCCTCCTGAGCGCTTCTGCACCCCGCCCTCCTGAGCGCTTCTGCACCCTGCCCTCCTGAGCGCTTCTGCACCCCGCCCTCCTGAGCGCTTCTGCACCCCGCCCTCCTGAGCGCTTCTGTGCACTGCTCCCATCTTTCTCTCTTTCGTCATTGATATTTCTCAACCTCCTTTCTTTCAACCATGTAATTTTTTTATGTACAATGTTTATTATGAAATTACTTTAGATGGTGAAACTTTGCAAACAGTGAAATGGACTGAATAAATTATGCATCAGTTGTATGATTAAATGCCTTGCAGCCACTACAAATAAGTCTTTAAAGGAATAATGATTTAATGAGAAAAGGCTTACAAGATGATGGTTAGTGAAAAACAAACAAAACAAAATAGAAAACAAAACTCTATTTACAATCAAACTCAAGAAAGAAAAGTCCTACACATAAACTGCATTTATAATCAGATTCTATGACGGGAAAATAGAGTCCTAACAAGAAATATAATTAAGAACGACCCCCACCCATTAAAAACAGTTGATTCCAAGTGAGGAGTTCCCAGATGCTTCCATCTCACATCAGGTGCTTTGCAGATACAGCTTCTAGACAAGTCCACCCTGCTGCAACAATGAGACATCCCTAGACCTCAGCTGTATGGAGACAACTAGATCAGACACGAGGCCTGGGGTACTAGTCAACCTTGTCATCTAGAGCTCTCCTCCCTCCATGAACACCTCTTCTCTAGGCTTCCTCAGCTCACAGTGATTTTCAGTAACTTGAATCCAGTCCTTTGTGCATCTGCTGATTCTTCAAAGTCAATGGTGAACATCCTGAGGGCAGAAATCAGGCCTCTCTGTTCATATGGACCCCTCTCCCTGATTCCTAACATGGTATCTCCCTAAGAGTTTTACATTACTTGCTGATTGAGTGATTGACACATTTCCACAAAACAACTGAACTGACTATTTTTCTCTTTTCTGGGCAGTTTGCCATTACAGGGATCCTTTCCATTATCTCTGGGAAAAAGTCAACCAAGCCCTTTGTAAGTATAAGAACGGTCAAATCTCAGCCAGTTGATATCAAAGGAACTTCAGAATTAATTCTTCCAGTTCAAAAGCTCCATTTGAGCGTTCAGGTGGAAATAAGGCTCTGAGCAAGCCAGGGAGCATGATTTCTCCCTCCTGGCCCACTAGCCGAACTGGGAGCAAACCCCAAATTCCTTGCCTTCAGGACCATTGCTCTTTCCCCCATAAAATGGAGCCCATGGATCATATTCCAAGCTTGGAGGAGGTTTACCTCAGTTGCTTAAACAGTAGAATTTTTTTTACATATACCCAGGACTCTAAAACTTGCTATCTTGGCCCTGGATAGTATAGAAGACCACCCCAGCTAGATCCTAGATATTCTTTTTTCTAGAAAACTCTACCTAATAATGAGTCAATTTGCCTTAATGTACAGACAGAGGCAGAGGTGTGTGGGCTTAGATCCTTTCTGATGATCTCCTTTACTCTTTCAGGAGCAAGGAATTAGACTGTAGCCACTCTCCTGACAAAGGTCACGAGTTGGGGACCAGGGGTGGAAGCAGCTGAGATCTTTGATCTTCTCCATAGCAAACTTTCCCTCTCTCCTGACACACACCCACAGAGATGAATTCCAGACTCAGGAAGATTCAGGGTCTGGTTAGCCATGGATGAGAGCACATTAGATGCACAGGGCTGGTACATGCTCCTGATGCGTGAAGCTAGAGTCTGAACCCCAGGATCGATGGACAGGGTTTTGAAGAGTTCACAGCATTGGAAGGGGTCAGAATTCTGGACTTGGGAATCAGGAGACCTATACTCCCATCCCAACTCTGTCCCCAATCCATCTGTGTGATTGAAAAAGCTTTGCTGGGCTTCAGTTTTCTTATTTATAAAATGTGGAAGATGAACATGTGGATCTCAGGGATGATTTCCAAAGTGACCTGAATACACTCAAAGGAAAAACTATACTTGGGGTGACCTGACACAATATGGGATCTACATGTGGTACACAGGGATGATATGTGGGCTCGCTGCCCACATGGTAGCTCTGGGCCAAGGTGCTGCCCATTCACTCTGCTCTTCCTTCAGGGACTCAGCAATTTGAAGCCATGTAGCTCCTGAGCCAAGGGAGAAGAGGATAGGGCAACCATCCTCTCCAACACACAGCATCCTACAGTGATGCTCAAACAGAAAAGAGCCTGCACTGGGGACCTGGTCCAGAGCCTGGCACAGCAGGGTCCTTGCAGAGGAATCACACCCTGTGAGAGTGCCTTTCCCCAAAGGGACTTTGACCCATGAATGAGTGTGGTGATGAAGTTCTCATAGGCCTGATCCACCTATAGGATGTATTCTAACTTCTCCAGTTTGCTTCTTCCTTCTTTCTGAAGCTGCTTCTGTATGAAAGAAGAAGCCATAGATTCGTCTTTCCAGGAGGGACCAACAGCCATACTCAAGAAGCCCTTAAAGCTTCTAGAATGATTGGAAGCCTGTTGAGGAGTCAGGGGAGATATTGGCAATATCACTTATGTCTTCAGTGCTGCAGGGTCGAGGAGCCTGAACCTCTCCCCACAGCAGGAATTATTCATAGGTTCTCTCATTCAACAGCATTTCCTAACTATACGAGGGGATGAACTAGATAGTGAGGAGGGGTACAGAGATGAATGAAACCCAGTGTGTGCCCGCTAGGACTATGCAGATGAGAGGGGAGACAGACCCAGGGAAGCCCGGTGGCAGTGCAGTGAACGGAGGAAAACGGAACCACATGCTGCTTCTGCGATGAGATTCCAGCACAGAACTTCTCTTTCAGGCCATGAGCAGTACCACCTCCAGTGCAGTGAGTTCTGTTGTCGCTGGAGCTGGCCTCTTCCTCCTCACTTACAGCCTGGGGACTCTCTCTCAACTGTGTGACTCAGAAAAGGAGCACGAGTCTTCCGTGCCTCATTCGGGGAACCACGATCTGAGACATGAAACCAAAAACTGTGTCCCGGACTGTGTCAGTCTCATGGTGAGTACTTTCAGATTGAATATCCTCTTGTGTGAATGTCATAATCTTGCCTTTTCAGCAGTCTCTAGCCCCGTTGGTCTGAATGTCTGGAATTAGACAAAAGAAAAAAAAAATGGTTGAAAGAGGCCTGTCAGCAGACTGCATAATATGGAATGCATTGTGCGAAGTCGAAAAAGGAAATCAAGCAGGGATGTGGGTAGTCCATCCCTTCAGGAGTCTTTCTTAAATAAAAAATTATTCCATTCCCAGTTGGTTTAACTCTCAAAGTGCTTCCGTTGTTGAACAGGCTTTTTTTTTTTTCCCTTCCCCTCAATGAAATATCCCAGAAACATCCTTCTGTATTTAAATGTCATTTGATTTGGGATGAAGGTATCCCACATAAAGTTAGAAACGGATTTTGATTCTGAAGCCCAAACATCTCATTATTATACTTTGGCCTTGTCGGTCTGGCAGAGAGTGGAAGGGGGATGGGAGATGGCCCACCAATGGATTTGACTCCTAGCAGAAATGCCAGCATCTCTGGGCAGCGTTTTCTTGCCTCTTTCCCCCCAAACTTGATAGTCACCACCTGTGGATGGTGACAATCCTGGCTTAGTCAATCCTCTACATATAGTCTCAGAGTTTAAAAACCATCCACTCTGGCCCTTTAAGAAGAAAGATTTCTTCCGTTGTGACTCCTCCCACTGGGAGCTGGGGAGACAAAGGCATTATCTTCCATTCCCTGGAATCCACCTGTCTGGTGAATCTCAGAGAATGTGCGGCAAGTTTCTGGACTCACAGTCTTCAGTGGGTCTGCCCATGGGACCCAGAGGCTGTCGAAAGCAGCCCCTTTGATCCAGGAGCTTGAGGGAGTAGAAGAGCACAGAGATGCATCTGGTTAGAAAGTGGCCCAAGGATCCCAGGAGACAGTATGACCCTGGTGCCGGTCAGACATTAGGCAAAGCAGTGAGGGTGGGAGAGGCATCCTCCACACTGGGACAGTGGGGGCTTAGTGTAATGAAAACTAACCTTAACCCATCAAAGCGCCTCCCACTCTCAGATAGCTGGAGTCAAAGAGAACGTCCTGCAACAGCAGAGGAGGTTCACCATGGCAGACAAAGCAGATTCGAAGGTTCACTCTTTCTTCATTAACACAAAGATAACCTGGGCAGGAGTAACACATTAATAAACATTAACAACACATATCCAAGGTCGGAAGAAGGAAGGACAGGAGGGTAAAAGGAAGAAAGAAATCAAGAAAGAAAAACATCAGAGGTTCCAGAAACTAAAAAAAAAAAAACACCTAAAACCAAGACACCAAACAAGAGCTGAGACTAGGAAATCAGGGAGACCCGGATAGGAACACAGGTGTTAAAGGCTGGGATCATGGGGTTTTAATGCCCACGGCAGGATTTGAGGCTCCACAGAGGGCAGGGAGCGTACATAGAGTGCCCTGCAAGATTGTCAGAAGCTGAGACAGAATATTTATGAAAATGAGACAAGGAAACTTCTGCCCAATATACCAAGAAGCTTCAAGAAACTCTGCCATAAAGGTGTCTAGGATGAAAGTCTATCACCAAGGCTTGTGCAGATATGGTACCCAAATCCAAAAATACATATAAAAGACAGGATCCAAAAATAAAAGGGTTAACTTAAAAACTGCCTGGATCTGGGAAACTCTTAAGGTTCTATCAGAGTCAAACCTAAAATTACTATCTACGGAGACATCCATAAACTCAACTTATGAGTCTCCTAAATATCAAAGAACTCCCACCTCTACCCCAAAAACCACCCACACACTGAAATGATCTAAGAATAAAGATATTTTGTAAAACATAAGAAAAAACAGGGAAGACCAGCAAATGGAGAAAACAAAAGCTAGTTGCCCAAGAATTAAAGATGACAATAATTTGGAAAAGGCTATAATGAAAATATATTTTAAATGATTAAAGACACATAAAAAAGGAATTGAAACCAAAATGAAAGACCACGACAAGAAGCAAACAGAACAAATGGATGTGAGAACTAACTATGGTTAGAAATGAACATTGTAATATCTGATGTTAAAAGCTTAGCATATCAGCTAAATGGCAGAGTCAACCTGTCCAAAGAAATAAACAGTGAAATGAAATGCAGGTCTGATTAAGTCACATCGAACACAACCCAGTAAGATAACGTTTGGAAAGTAGGAATGAGAAATGAAAAGACTTGGAGGACACAGTGAAGGGAAAAGGCTCAATCTAATCTGAGTTTCGGTGGGACAGCATAGAAGAGAAAACGTGTGCAGAGAGACATCACTGAAAATGTGTCAGGATTTGAAACAGATGTGAGATTTCAGGCTGAAGGCGCGCACTGAGACGATGCAGGATAAATGAAAACAAATGCACCCCTGAAAACATCATGACAATAAAAAGCACCAAAAGAAAAATAATAACAAAAGCCACTAGAGATAAATGAAGGATTACTCTTACCTCATTCTGAGATGAAACTGTTCTACTTTTATTTATTTATTTTGTTGTTGTTGACACTATTACAGATGTCTCCCCTTCTCCTGCCCCCATCCCCAGGCCCTTTGCCCACCTTTACCTGGCCTGCATCCTCCTTCCTTCCTTCTCTCTGGCCATCACTACACTGTCGTCTGTGTCCATACGTTATGCATAAATGTTCTTGGACTAATCCCTTCACCATCTTTCATTCAGTCCCCCTAGCCTCCTTCCCTCTGACAGCGATCTGTCTGTTTCATGAATCCATGCCTCTGGTTTCATTTTGTCCCTCCGTTTATTTTGTTCATTAGATTCCACCTATAAGTGAGATCACATGATATTTGTCTTTCTGTGACTGGCTTATTTCGCTTAGCATAATAACCTCTGAGATGAAACTGTTGCTGCTTATTTTCCTTCTTCTGTTAAGACATCCAAAAGAGAAAGCAGAAGAGAGAATTAAACAACTTTCTCTGTCCCTTACTCTGTCCACTGTGATCGCCTTTAGCCCCCCGTCTCCCCTTAGGCACAAGGGCTGACTTATGGTAGCAGCCATCCCTGTTCTGATTTGCAGGCTGTGCTGGTGGTGATGCTTCTCTTCTCTGTGCTGGAGTTCTTACTAGCTGCATACGCGTCCGTCTTTTGGTGGAAACAGGTCTACTCCAACAACCCGGGGGTGAGTACTCTGACAGGTCTCTGCAGCCTGCTGGGCCCCAAGACTGGAGCTATGAAGATCCAGGTCACTGGGCACATGTGGAAGGTGACTTTTATAATGAGAAAAAAATTAAATGAATGGGCTACTTCATGATGACACGCTGGTCATCTGAGATCAGTTCGTGCCTATTGGGTAGCAAACCAGTTAGAGAATTGCTTACGATGAAGCTACATGATTTTAGAAATCATCTGGCCCAGTCCCTTATAAAAGAACCAAGGCTTGGCCTGGCCAGTGTGGTTCAGTGTTGAGCACTGAGCCATGTACCAAGAGGTCGCCAGTTCAATTCCTGGTCAGGGCACATGCCCAGGCTGTGGGCCAAATCCCCAGTGGGGGACATGCAGGAGGCGGCTAATTGATGTTCTCTCATCGATGTTTCTATCTTTCTTCCTCTCCCTTTCTCTCTCTCTAAAATAAATAAAGAAAAAAAAAAAATCCTTTTAAAGAACCAAGGCTTGGATAAATCACATAGCGAAAGAAGGATACAGACTCATGGGCGGGGATTGAGAACCTGCATCTCCCCACTTGTCACGAGCAGCCCCCTGCCTCCCTAGCCCGGCTGCCTGGCTAAAGTGGAGATTTTACTAAGACACCTCTGTTCCACTACTGCTCTCCTGTGTTCTTCCATGCTTCTCCTTAGGTCTTGGCATTAAAATTTTAAAATACTCTTTTCTTTAAAATGCTGTAGTAGGAAAAAAAAAAAAGGAGAGAGACATTAAAAGGGACTAAATAAATTATGATTCAGTTATGATATTATCAGAAAACGGCAACATAATTAGCAGATTGGAGAATGGCATGTGTTTGAACTAATATTGAAGCAATGATATAGGAAAGTAAAGAGAGCTACTACTCTACAGCATTGGAGGAGAATGTATTTTAAATATGTATTTAGAAAGCTTCCAAAATTAGAGTTTAAAAACTATTAACAAATTTTATCTTTCCTAGAGTTCATTTTCCTTGCCTCAGTCTCAGGATCATATCAAACATGTCAAAGCCTTCTTCAAGGTCATGGATAACTGTTGGCCTTAGAGGACAAAAGAAGGAGAAACCCAGGGCTCATGGCAAAGTGTCATTAGAATTTCCTGAAATTTCAGTTACTTTAGACTCTGGAAGAAACGTAAAAAAAAAGCTTTTGTTTTGTATTTTGTTGGTATGAGTAATTTAATTGTTCCTAAAAATAATTTCCCCAAAGTCCAGGTCAGTAAAATTGTAGCAGCCTATCTTCCAAAATGGCCATGAAGTTTATAAAAATTTTTTGGGTAAACTAAACGGAAAGTGATTGTCTACCCATAATTAAGAAGAGAAGATGAACCCTGTTGAACTGGCGTGAATTGGCTCAGTCGTGTGGCTGTGCAGGCTCTGTTTCTGTGTTTTCATGTGCATGTTGCTTAAATAATAGATATTAGCATTGTAAGAACATTTCAATTAAAAATACTTTTTAAATAAATGGCTCCATTTCTATCAATTGAATGAATGAATTTTCTGTCAATTAAATATGGCTCCACATTCTCTCTCATTTAATGACTTTATTTTTAAACATCTGGATTCAAAGATTAAAATTAATCACAATCCTCTCTCCTGTCTAAATTCTGGATGAAATAAGAAATTAGACATATAGAAATAGTATCAACTTCATTTCTGTATTGGAGTAAACAATATGACCGACCCAATAAAGAGATTCCTAATATTGTCCCTGGGTCTAGGTCTGGGGTCCTGTCCCAGAGGGGAAGGTACAACAGAAGAACACTTGTTTGTTTTCCAAATGACATGTACAAGGATGGTCATAGAAGTCATGCACATAGTAGCCCCCAAAGAAAAACTATCCAACTAAACAGTAGAAGAAACAAATAAAATCTGTGCTATCTTCAGACAGTGGAGTGCCATATAGCACTGTGAGTAAGCAAACTACAAAATAAATCCACAAAATAATGTTCAGGGGAACAAAAGCTACATATAAGAGAATATATGCTGTATAATTTCACTTATAGGAAGTAAAGTTTGAACAGAGGCAAAACTAATATGCAATGTTAGAATCAGGAGCATGGTTACCTTTGGGGAAATAGTTACAAGGGGACCCAGATGGCCTATGGTTTCTGGAAATGTTCTTTTTCTTGGTCTGGATGCTGGTGCTGTGTCTATATGACGTGATATCTGGCTTCTATAATGTAGTGGAAGAAAAACATGTTTATTTATTTTTAATTTTATTTATTGTTGAAAATATTATAGATGTCACCCTTTTTTCTCCATTGACCTGCTCCTTCCTGCTTCTCACTCCCCTTCCTGCCTTCCCCAGCCTAATGGCTGTGTCAATTGGTTGTGCATATATGCATATAAGTTCTTTGGTTTATCTCTTCCTGCCTCCCCACCCCCCATCCCTCTGAGGGTTGTCAGTCTGATCCCAACTTCCATGATTCTAGATCTCTTTTGGTTGACAGTTTATTTTGTTCATTATGTTCCAAAAATACGTGAGATAATGTGGTACTGTACTTGTCTTTCTCTGACTGGCTTATTTCGCTTAGTATAATACTCTCCAGGTCCCTCCATGTGGTCTCAAAGTGCAAGAGATCTCTCTTTCTTACAGCTGCATAGTATTCCATTCTGTACATGTACCACAGCTTTTTCATCCACTCATCTACTGATGAACACTTGGGCTGTTTTCAGATCCTAGCAATTGTAACACCCAGAAATTGATGGCATTTTTTTTTTTTTTTGCAAATTTTGCAGTTTTATTTATTTTTTAAAAAATTTTAACTTTTCTTTATTGTTGAATGTATTACAGATGTCCCCCCTTTTTTTCCCATTGACCGTCTCCCCCCCAATCCCACCCCCCTGCTACCTTCCCCACACTATAGTCGGTGTCCATTGGTTATGCATATGTGCATAGAAGTTCTTTGGTTTATCTCATCCCGCCCTCCCTCTCCACTTCCCTTTGAAGTCCATCAGTCTAACAACCAATTTGTACTTCTTAATTCCTTCATCTTTTTCTCCTATCCCACCCCCCAGCCTCCACCCATTTGGCAAGCAACAAAAAGTTCTCTGTGTCTATGAGTCTGTTTCTGTTCAGCTTGCTCATTTTGTTTGTAGATTCAATTGTTGATAGATAGGTATTTATTGCCATTTTACTGTTCATATTTTTGTTCTTTTCCTTCAAAAAGACCCTTCAACATTTCATATAACACTAGTTTGGTGGTGATGAACTTCTTTAGCTTTTTCTTGTCTGGGAAACTCTTGATATGTCCATCGATTCTAAATGATAGGTTTGCAGCATTGAGTAATCCTTGTTGTAGGTCATTGCTTATCATCACTTTGAATATCTTTTGCCACTCCTTTCTAGCCTGCAAAGTTTCTTTTGAGAAATCAGCTGACAGTCTTATGGAAACTCCTTTGTAGGTAATGAACTGCTTTTCTCTTGCTGCTTTTAAGATTCTCTCTTTGTCTTTATCCTTTGGCATTTTGATGATGTGTCTTGGTTTGGACCTCTTTGGGTTCATCTTATTTGGGACTCTTTGTGCTTCCTGGACTTGTATGTCTGTTTCATTCACCAAGTTAGGGAAGTTTTCTGTCATTATTTTTTCAAATGGTTTTCAATTTTTTGCTCTCTTTCTTCTCTTTCTGGTACCCCCATGATGTGAACGTTGGCACACTTGAAGTTGTCCCAGAGGCTCCTTACACTATCCTCATTTTTTTTGGATTCTTTTTTCTTTTTGCTGTTTTGATTGGGTGTTTTTTTGCTTTCTTACATTCCAATTCGATAGTTTTCTTCTTGGTTTTACCTACTCTACTATTTTTCCCCTGTAAATTATTTATTATTTCAGTTAGTGCATCCTTCGTTCCTGACTGGTCCTTTTTTATGTTGTTGATGTTCTCACTAAGTTTCTTGGAGTCCTCCTTAAGTTCCTTGAAGATCTCACTAAGCTCCTTGAATGTCTCATTAAGTTTCTTGAGCATCCATATAACCAGTGTTTTGAACTCTGCCTCTGGTTGATTGCTTATCTCCATTTTGTTCAGTTCTTTTCCTGGAGTTTTGTTCTTTTATTTCATTTAGGACATGATTCTTTGTCTCCTCATTTTGGCTGCTTCACTGTGATTGTTTCTATGTATTAGGTAGAATTGCTATGTCTCCTAGGCTTGGTAGAGTGGCCTATTATTGTAAGTGTCCTGTAGGATCCAGTGGCACAACCTCCCTGATCAGCTCAGCTGGGCCCTTGAGGTTCACCCCTAGTGTGGACTGTATACCCTTCTGTTGTAAATGAGTCTTGATTGCTGTTGGCAAGTCAGTGGGAGGGATTTACTCAAGCTGTTCAGCTGCAAGGACTGGCTGTGCCCACTGACCATTGGCCTATGACTATCTTGGAGGATCAACTGTATAGGGGCCAACCACACAGAGCAAGACATACTTCAGCAGGGCTCTGGTACCCACTGAGTCCATTCATTGAGTGTGTCACTTGTGGAGGTGGTTGGGTGGTGGTGTTTTGAGGTAGTCTGAAGCTATCCACTGAGTGTGCTGGCTCTGGGCAAGGTCAGCCTCTGCCTGTGTTCTGCCTGGGGCCACCGGCATAAGCTACAAAGTGATCTGCCAGTGGATGCTTCTTGTGCTGGGCTTGGAGGTGCCCATGAAAAGCCAAGTTGTGAACCAAGGCTGGCTGCTTCTAGTGCCAGGCCTGGGGCCACTTAACAAGAGGTATGAGGCTTACTGAGACTAGCTAGATGCTGCTTGTTTGAGAGAATTTAGAAAAATCTAAAGCAGGATCCAAGACAGGCCAATCTTATGGTAAAGCCTTTGCAAACAGCTTGGGTGAGCCTGAAAGTTGGGTGGGGCAGGGCCTCAGGGAATCACCAGGTCGGGGCAAACAGTGTGAGCCAGGTTGCTGGAGTCCCAGATGTGGTGGCTGTCTGCTGCCCCAGGGAAGGGCTCACCAAAGGAACAAAGGTCTCAGCCAGCAAATCTGTCTGAGAGAAAGCTGCCCCTCCACCCCTCATCCAGAGGCCAAACAGCTTAGTTCTTCCCTGTATATCTCTGGTGTCTGTCAAGCTGCTTCACCTCTGACCTTCAAGGGAGTGAGTCTGAGTAAGTCTGTGCACAGTGGCCCTTTAAGAGGAACTGCCTGGGGTGCCAGAAGCCTCAGCCTCCCTCAGTCTTAGTTCTTGCTGGTTTTTCCAGCCAGAAGTTATGGGGACTTCTCTTCCTGGCCCTGGAACCCTGAACTGGGTGCCTGGTATGGGACGGGAACCCCTCACTCCTTAGGGAGAACTTTCCCAGTTGGGATGTCCTCCTGAATTTTATCCGCCACACATGGGGTGGGACCAGCCCGTCCACGCCTCTACCCTTCCTGTCAGTCTCAGTGTGGCTTCTCTAATTTCATAGTTGTAGGACTTCCATTCAGGTGTCAGGTGGTTCTGATTAATGGTTGTTCTGTAGTTTAGTTGTAATTTTGATGTGGTTGTGGGCGGAGGTGAGACCACGTTTACCTACGCCATCATCTTGACCCGAAGTCAATTGATAGCATTCTTATACACCAATAATGAACACTCAGAGAACAAAAGAAACAAACAAAACAATCCCATTTACCATTGCAACAATAAAATAAAATAAAATAAAATATGTAGGAATAAACTTAACCAAGGAGGTAAAAGACCTGTTCTCAGAAAACTAAAGGACATTAGAAAAAGAAATAGAGGAAGACATAAAAAAAAGGGGGGGAACATATTCCATGTTCATGGATTGGAAAAATCAACATCATTAAAAAGTCCATAATACCCAAAGCAATCTATAGATTTAGTGCAATTCGTATTAAAGTCCCAACGGCATATTTCACGGATCTAGAACAAATACTCCGAAAGTTTATATGGGACCATGAGAGACCCTGAATAGCCACAGTAAGTTTAGAAACATGTTTAAACAGTTACTTTTGACCTCTTGTGCCTGTCTAGTTATTGAGCCATCCCTCACTTCTCCACAGTCAAATTCTTGTCTCCCAAACCCTGGAGTCATCCTTGACTACTGTTTGCCTCACACACCACACCTAATCTCCCAGTACAACCTGCTCATTCTAACTTCAAAACACGAGCCTTCTTGCCATCGCACAGATGCTCTGGTTAGCCACTTCCCACTGGCTGTACTGCAAAGAGCGACGACCAACTGGACGCCCACACCACCCAGCCTTTTCCCCACATAGAGAGAGCGGGAGTTTTTAAAATAGAAAACCATACCATGTCATTTCTCTGCTCAAACCCATTTCACTTCATTCCAAATAAAAGCCAGAGTCCCCACGTGTCCTCATAAGATCTAAACTCTCATTTTCTCTCTGATCTGCTCTGATCTCTCCCCCACCCTTGCTCTTTCTACTCCTGTCATACTGGCCTTTTGCTGCCCCTTGACATATTCTTTTCTCAGAAACTTTACACTTGCAGGGCCCTCTATCTGGAATGCTTTTCTTGCAATTATTATTATTATTATTATTTTAAATCCTCACCTGAGGATATTTTTCCATTTATCTTCAGATAGAGTTGGAGGGGGAGAAAGAGAGAGAGAGAGACAGACAGACAGACAGACATCGATGTGAGAGAGACACCAACTGGCTGCCTCTCACAGGACCCTGACCAGGGCTGGGGACTGAACTGCAACTGAGGTATGTGCCCTTAACTGGGAATCGAAGCCGTAACTCTTTGGTCCAGGGGCCAACATGCTAACCGCTGAGCCAAACTGGTCAGGGCTCTTGCAATCATTTTTATTGCTTGTTTTCTTACTTCTTTCAGGTCTTTATTCAAATTTCCCAGCTTCAATGAAACTTTCCCCCACTAACCTACATAAAATTGTAACCCTCTTTCCCCTTCATTTGCTAATTTTTTCTCCATAGTACTTACTATATACTTACTATATAGTACTTAAAATCTGACTTACTATATATTTTATTTGTTTGTTTATCAATTGTATGTCTGCAACCAGCAGTCTGTAAGGTACATTAGGGCACTCGAATACTACTCTCTGATGAGGCTTCAGCTCCCATTGGAATGTTTTATAAGTGTGTGTGTGTGTGTGTGTGAATACTTTAAACTGGGGTGCAGAAACTGAGATTTCCCCTTTATCCCATAAGTTAAGCAATGCAATGCAATTATATTTTATCCAGGATCTATTTCTGATTTGTTTGTTTTTTGCTATAAATAGAAAGTGTTTTCAGCCTATCTGGACAGTTATATTCAGAACTATCTGGAATAATATTCCAAACTGACAGAAGTTGCAGTAAGGTTGCATCTTTCTTTTTTAACTCTCCTCCACTCCTCATCCCCCTCACCCCAGTCTGGTTGTCTTTCACGCATGATGGGACCACCCACTCAGTTTCTAAAGCACAGATTTGGAAATCCATTCTTGACTCCTTCCTTTGCTTCCACCACATTCCCTTTGGGAAAACAGGCAGGAACCACGCACGGGGAGGTCTAACAAACTTGTGGGAAGAAGAGTGGATGGTTTCAGTCAAGTCCAGGCAGACAGTGGAGATTTCCAACATACACATTAGAACTCTGACCTCTCACTCTTAATTTCTAAATAAATGCAGCTTCCCCAAAATGGTAACCCCAAATGTACGACTTAGTCACACACTCAGATCTTTCTCACAACCTCTCCAATTCGTCCTCCGGTCTGACCTCACTCGGTGGAAGATTCTCCTTGTTGTTCTGAGGAAGTGTGTGAGCAGCCATGTGATGCAGCAAGGAACTGGGGGCACCCTCTAGGACCTGATGGCCACCTCTACCCTCCGGCCAGCAGAAGCCGGAGTCCTTACTCATAGAACCATAAGGAGACAAATTCTGTCAACTATCCGAATGTGCCTAAAAGTGGGTTTTCCCCAGTGGAGCCTCCACTTGAAAATGCACCTGGCCGACCCCTTCTTTGCAAACACGTGAGGCCCCGAGCAGAGGCACCCAACCAGGCCATGCCTCACCTCCTGAGCCACCAAAGCTGTAAGATAATAAACCTGCGCTGTTTTAAGCCACCAGATTTGCGGTTGTTACATAACAATAGAAAGCGAATATGCACTGGACTGTTGCATGGAAAAAGGAAGAGGAAAAGCCAAGTTCAAATTTCAGCCCCACCACGTACCAGCAGTAACTACAGTGCTCAGTTGTGTCTTCAAAATGGGTATGAAAATAAAACCTGCCTCCCGAGGTTGTTGGGAGGGTGACATGGTGACACAGGCAGAGGATGAACTAAATAAGCGATAAACACATTTTATTCAGAGCAGCATTGGCACATACTAAGGGCTGAATGTTACTTGTCAAAGGCAAGGAAGGGAGGAGGGCTCCTGCAGGTTAAAAGCAAGAGGGAATACACTTTCCACTCAAAGAATATCACCCTGACTATACATGGTTAAAAGCAAGAGGGAATACACTTTCCACTCAAAGAATATCACCCTGACTATACATGGTTAAAAGCAAGAGGGAATACACTTTCCACTCAAAGAATATCACCCTGACTATAGATGGTTAAAAGCAGGAGGGAATACACTTTCCACTCAAAGAATATCACCCTGACTATAGATGCCCTGTAAGGGTCCTGTCATTTCACACCCCACCCCCTTGGAATAGCCTATTTCCTGCCCTCTGGTCTGAGTCCATAGCCTGAAATATTAGAGAGCCTATTTTTAAGGAGCTTGAAAGTCAGAAGCAGGAGGGAAAGGCAGAGGCCGGCAACTAAAATGATAAAATAAGATGCATTTTGACATAAGAATGATAAGTGTCTCCTGCTTATTATGAGCAATTCATTCCTAAAAAGCAGGAATTCTGCAGGAAGGCAGTTCTTTTTCATCATTTTAAAGGAAAAAAAAAATGTGTATGCTATTCGTCAACCCAAACTCCCATCTGATTTCCTAAAACGTAAGTAAAAAGCAGTAAACTATGTGCATTTAAGTAGCAAATTAACAGGTTATAAAAGGCGTAAGACATTGCAATTACTTGCTCACCAAATAATCACAAGTGACAGATGCTGCGTGAGCAGTTTGTGGCTGCAGTTAGAGTCAGCACCATCGGGGGCGCACTTCCCCTTAGCTGCACAGGAGGCTTCTCAGAACTCCACCTGATGCTGGTGGGCGGTCAGTTCCGCTTAGAATTTAAAAACAGACTTATCCCCCACATTGTCTTGTTTAAAATGTTGCATTGTGTGTTAGGCCCTTAAATTAAAATGTACTTGAATAAACATTGGCAGAAAAATGCTGTGTAGAGAAATACTGTACATATCTTCTCTGATGTTTGGACATGGGAAACAGAGAGGCATTCCAGAAAAAAATAAAAATAAACAGAGGGCACAGTCTGCAATTATTTCTCTACTTAAGTGGTTCTCAACCTGGAATGATTTTGCTCCCCCAGGGAAAAGATTTGGTCATGTCTGGGGACAATTTTTGTCGTCACAACTGAGGACGTGCTACTAGCATGTAATGAGTAGAGGCCAGAGATGCTGCCAAACATCCTGCAGTGCACAGAACTTGCTACAGCAAAGAATTATCAGTCCCCACGTATCAGCAGGTTGAGAAACCCTGAGAAACCCCGCTATGCGTGATTGCCACACACTGGGAAACATTCAAGACACTATTTGTACAGTTTTGTTTTGTTTTGTTTTCTGAAATCGGTTGCCTTTATGATTTAAATCATAGCAAGTATAGGAATATAAAGGATCAATGTGGAAAGCAAAATTCCCCAAAGACACTTTATATTGTTTTAATGGTGTTTGTACGATTTAAACCAGGAAAACCTTGAGCAGAATTAGTTTCACTGGTCTTTCTGAAAGCTAAAATATGCTCTCTATTCAACTGGCAACTACATCAAGGTCTATATTTGCTTAACGACTGATTTGTGCACTACAGAGGACTATGGTTAAACCATACAGGAGACAAATCATGAGCTACAGGTGGGTCCCTGCTTCTGAAAGAACATGGAAGCATGTTGACAAGCGGAATTTGACCCCGCCTGTCCCACAGTATGTGACCTTGGGCAGCTGGACCTTTCTGTACCTCAGTTTCAGCACTGTAGAATTGTTTAAAAAATTTTTAATCTATGTTAAAACCAAGCACCTTCTACAGTGCCCAGTGGATACCTACACATTTTAGTTCCTTTATAGCTCATGAACATCGATACTGGAATTTGATTTATACACACTGTCCCTTTATTTTGTGTTTATTGTATGTTTCTAAATAAATTGATGAGAAAGTTGAGTCTTGTGGATAACTGGATTCCTCGCCAGGAAGACAGGGGGCGGGATACGCTCTGGAATTCTAAGACTCTATGACTCAATGACTGTGATTCTGTGGTTCTAGTACTGAGCGGAGAAATCACTATGGGCACTTTGCTAAGGACTCCATGTGAGACTGAGGGAAGACCGTGATCATGGCTGCAATGTCCACTCACTCATTCTTTAAATAGAGTCTTGCCATTGAGTCATGGCAGCATCACACGAGGTCAAAAAATCGACCCATGTCATCACTATTCAACCAAAACAAACTGTATTGACTGCGCTTCCCTATGGGCCTCCCTACTCCGTGCTGGATTTCCTCAAGGGAGAGCCAAGAGTCTTGGGGGTAAGTCCTCTCACATCCATGGGTCTCCCTGGAAGGGAGAAAATAACTTCTCTCTGCACGTATGTCTGCAGAGGTGCTTTTCAGAAAAGGAGTGGACTTCCTCTTCTCCCGCTTACCTTTCAACCCCAATGGATTCTTCTTGATTAATCAGAAATACTTTTAAGTCGTTTGCTTGTACAAATAATTGGATCATCAGTAGAAGAGCCAATGTGTAGCCAATAATATCATTTCCCTAGATTTTTGATAAACACGAGAAATAAAAGTTCCGTTTAGAAACACGTGGGGTTTGCCTCATGTCTTAGAAATGTTTCGGCGGGCTTATTTAAGTCTGAGAAATGGGATGTTTAACTAGAACTGCTAATTACCCTAACCCCAAGGAAATCCTAGGGCTGTTTCATGAGGAGTTAGTACCGGTCTTTGACTCATAGCAGAGGGCATGCAGGAAACCAGTGGAATTTTAAAAACTATTTTATTGAGGAGGCATCCTCAGGGTATGGGGGCACCTCCAAGCTTGGAGCAAAAGCCATTAGAGGAGAATTTAAACTTCCCCTTTGTGCTGTTATGGGTGTTGGGAGTTCTTTGGAAACCACGTTCAATGCTCCATAGTGAGCCACAAAGCACACACACACATAAAAACAATTTCAGTCATAAATGTTCCTAGAAGGGAAATGTATATACAGCCTTCATCCTTAATATAAGAGTAAAGTCACTACTTGTGGTATAGTGACACAGAGGAGTGGCCTAGGGACAAGGCCCAGAATGCTGGAGGAGCAGTTCTGAGAAAGTCACTGACCCTGCAAGACCACCTCGAAGTTCCCCTCCCTGCAGATTGCTAAGCCCACTAGGTTACTCTCAGCTCTAGGCAAGTGCATGATAAGATGAGACATAACCTTGTCCCAGCCTCTTGGCTCTGCATTAGCAAATGTCATAAACTTTTAGAGACTGTGGAAAATGTGTGTGTGTGTTGGGGAGTGGGAGTAATAACAGGATGCTGGAGCTACAGAAGGGGAAAAGTGTAAAGGTGAATAGTTTGTAGTCTCTGTCCTCAGGAAGTTTGCAATCCATGGGTAGAGTTAGACATACAGTGATACCTCGGTTCTCGAACATAATTCGTTCCAGGAGGACGGTCGAGAACCGAATTGTTCGAGAACCGAAGCAATGAAACCAATAGGAAAGCGTGACTCCACAAAGCGTGACTCTCTCTCTGCACTCACACTGATGACACAAGCAAGGCGCGCTGGGCTGAATGAACGCCATTCGGCTCATCTCGGAAGTTCGAGTTCCAAATATTTGTTCGGATTCCGAGACAAAAGTTTCTCGAATCTCCATTTGGTCGAAAACCGAGGCGTTCGAGAACCGAGGTATCACTGTATACTCAAATGTATCTGATACAAGAGAAATTGGTAACACCAGGGGATACAGCAAGTAGTGATGGATGAGGGTGAAGCATTTGAACCTGAAGGACCCAGGGAAGTGCGATGAGGGAAGAGGCAATGGGCTTTCTGAAAATCTGAGAGGCATTGGCCAATGGAGAAAGGAAGGTGTTCAGATGAAGGGAGCTCAGAGGGAAGCCCAAGGGACCTGGGAGGGCCAAAGATGCTGGGGGACTCGTGACCTCATGTACCCGTTTCTCTCTCCACAGGCTATCCAGGTCCTGCTTGCCTTGATCACTGTAGGCATTGGAACTATATTTGCATTTAATTACTTCAATTTCTCCCAAAGATTTCCACTCGTTTTCTTCACAGGATATCCGTTCTGGGGAGCATTTATTGTGAGTACTGTCGGGAGCTTTCGAGAAATTACTATAAAGACGAGTGGAACTGCCTGGAGTCCAAGGATAACGAATCCCATGAACATGGTCCCCAAGGAGACCAGGCCCTTCCCCAGTGAGAGACATGAGTCCACGTAGGCACTGCACCACCATCTTCATTGTAGTATTCCCAGGGGTGCAGTGTTTAAGGGTTTCCGAAGCCCATGTGTGCATAGTAAGATATCCGCTCCTTTCTACCAATCTGAGAGATCAGACAGGTCAAGATCCTGCTTATCCCTTTGCAAATAAGGAAACTGAGTTTGAGAGGAGTTACAAATTTAAACATATCTAGCTAGAACTCGGGATCAGAGACTCTTCTAGCTGAAGGAGAATTTTAAGATGATAATTATGGTTCAGTTCCCTTGTTATCCTGAAAGTCAGTTTTATGAGTGTCACTCGTTTAGTTAATCATGGAGCCACAAATAAAAGTCTCTCTACAGTGCTATCTCCACCCAATCCCCACAGCCTTGGCTCTTACTCTGTGCCACAATATTTAAGGGTAGACTCATTTAAGGGCAGAGTTTCTCCCACTAGAACACACACTCCCAAGAGGGTAAGAATATTGTCTTAGTTGCTGTTACATTCTCGGGGCCTAGACTCATGCTAATGCACAGTACACATGAATGGATGAATCATTCAATAAACAAATGGATGAAATGAAAAATAAATGCGACTACTGTCTCCACGAACATTCCTGATGAACATAGCTATTCCATGCCTTTTCTATAATCTGCGTTTCAAAGACAATTAGTCGAGTTTCCATTTCCAAATAGAAATAATATTGAATATGATTTTCAAACTGCACATGCCGCCCTGGAGAAAAACCAAACAGGCCGACTTCTCATGTGCCCATATCATAGCCGAACTTGCCCAGTGTGATTTTGTGTTATCTGTATGCATGAATTTTAATGAGGCTCTGGCAGACCGCTTGTTAAAACTCTCCTCATTGAGAAGATATTTACGGAGCACAAAGTGCATCTTCGGTGGTGTCCTAGGCGCTGAGAGGTCTGGTAAACAGACCCTCTCTGAGAGAACTGGTGAACTGCTCTTAGAATTAGAATTGTCATGGGATAGGGAGACTAGAAATGAAAAAGTAAACATAACTTGACAGAGACATTATTATACTTGTACTAAGCATGCTAAAAAAAAAAAAAAGCGTTCCTGGTGCAGCACGTGAGGGATTAATGGAAAACACTCCCGGCCAGAGAGGGCAGGGAGGTGCTTGGCACAAAGGTGTTCCCTGGGTGCCGCGGAAGGAAAGCCTCCCCTGGCGAAGAAAAAGCACAGCCAAGGGCCCGATGTGGGAAAGAGCAGTAGAAAGAAGACCAGTGAGTCCATGGCACTGGTACAAAATGAGGCCCCGGATGTAGGCTGGAACCAGGTCGTACAGCTCTTGTGGTCATATTAAGAATATGGAACTTTTAATACAAGAACAAGGGAGTATGTCGATCATCTTTAAAGAAGGGAATGGCATTTGAAGATGTGTTATCTTTAAAATAGCATCGTGTTTTCTGAATGGGAAATGAATTCAAAGATGGTAACAGCAAACCTGGGAGAATCAGCTTGCGGGAAGTAGGGTGCTGCCAGAACCCAGGGGAGCACAGATGGTACCTGAACACTAGCTGGGCAGCAGTGGACATAAGCGAGGTGGGCAGCTGTGAGGTAGCTTGGAGGTAGAGCTGATCTGACGGGGATCCCATGTGGGCAGGGAAGTGGGGGGAGGTATCAAAGGTAACTTGCTCATCTCCACATGTCACCTTGTGGTCCTTGGACACCAAGACCCACATGTCCTCAAGGTCCAACACCAATTCCCACAGGAGAGGTCCTCATCCCCAGACCCTTAAAAAAAGTAAGTGGCTCCACATTGGGTGACAAGAGGACTCATTTTCTCTGGGTGGCACTAGGCTCTTTATATTCCAGATAAAGAAGTGGCTGATCTCCTGCACCCCTCAGAGTAGGGACTGCCCTCACTATGGCCATGGCTGCTAGTCAGCTGTGTGCCAGTGGGTCATGGGACATCTTGTGGCATGTTTTGGGCTGGAGGACAGTTGCAAGTATTGTCTGGTCAGTGCTGCTTCTACCCATCTGTTCCACAGTATTTATAATCTTCAGCGGCATTGATTTATTTCATCCTATACGGTGGCTGTCTGATTCTTTCAGTGATCTCTATAGTTCCGGTGTAATTTTTTACCACCTGCTGCTGTCAGTGGTAATAATAATGAAAAGTATTTTCAGTGTGGAGTTCTATGCAGTTGTGCCTTCTACTCCCTGCTCCAGACTGGCCCTGGTAGGGAAGATTGTTCGTTCTCACCAGCTCATGCCCTCATTTGTTCACGTCGCCATGGGAACAGTGGCAGCTTGGTGTGCTGCATGATAACAGAGGGCCCATACGTTTTCCTGTGGTTCCCTGGTACAGCCCTGCTGCCCAGACCTGCTTAAATCAGTATCACCCCCCTCCCCCCCACTGGCTGGAGCATTTATGGGCTATAGCTATAGCCTCCTGTATTTTATTAACAACATGAACTATCTTCCATTTCCCATCATACAGCAACGTAAGTCCTTGTGCTCTAGGTCTTCGCTCTTATTAGCTAAACACAGTTGTATGGAATCACTGTTCCTGATTAGAAATGTCTGCATTGTGTATTATTTCCTTGGTCATAGGACCAAAGTTTGGATTCGCACTGCTATGGACCTTCAGACAGATGAGCGATTTCATAGGCCTCTTGACACTGTGAGTGGTCTCTTGAATCTCTCATTACTCTACCATGTCTGGAGTCTTTCTCCTGCTGACTTGATACATCTCATGGATACTCTTCAAAATCTATGCCACAGAGGCTCATCTGATCCCTGTTCAACCACCGTCTGCAGAAGAGTCCGGTGAATGCCTCCCAAAGCTTTAAACAGCGATCCGGCCCTCATCATGGAGTACTTGGCCTCGCAGGACCTGATGTTGCTTTCTCATTAGTCTCCTCATGGAGACGAAAAGCTTTTAGTCCTAACCAACTGGGTGGACATCCCCACAATCGGGCAGCCATTTCAAGGGAGTGTTTGCATCTTTAAATGATACGGCTCAGAAACTGGTTCTCCAACAAAAAGCTGCTACTATAAGTGGAAGAGTGTCTTCTCACATGCAGGAGCCTAAGATACTGAATTATCCAGAAGAAACTCCTTTTCAGACCCCAAGATCTAGCCAGATGCCTTGGCCTTCAGTGCCACCATGGTTCAGACATCACTGTTTCCTTCAAAATTATCTGTAGACGATGTTGAAAGTCCCCTTGGACTCCTGCTTGGCTCTACCGCGATGAGTCAGACGGCTGGGACTGTTTATGTGAACACCTGCTATTCACCTCAAAGTTCTCAGCTGAGAAGAAAAGGCCAAGATTATAAACTTCTGCTTCTGACCAGCAAATGAATGGATTTTCTAATCTTCTATCTGCTGTTAGTGCTGAAGGCAAGACAATGACAGCCCAGTGTGATTTATTCATGGATTTAGAATAAATGTGAATAGATTAATCATTTCTCGTCAAAACGGCTGCTGATAATGTATTTTTTTCAGTAAGCTCCCAGAGGCCTCCATTCAGGCTGTTTTTTCAGATGCCCAAATATTGGGGTATTGGAAGGTAGAGTTGGAGGTGTCCAGACTACACTACTGGCAATTCTTAATACTTTGTTGACACTGTAACGGGCAGTTGACAAGTACTCCAAGCCTCCTCATGGTTCCGGTAAACCACCTCGGATTTCAGGAAGCCCTGTGGATACTTCTTATAGAATATTAGAGAGTCACTAAAAACTGCCATCTGTCAGATCACTGCGACATCTGGTGAACATCTCAATGCTGTGTGGGCATCTGTGGAACATCAGAAGAGACCTCAACAGCTCTTGGGGTTCAAAGAATCGTTAATACAAACTGTGTTCATTACATTGATGATACAACTACAGATGGAACAGGAAATGTTCAGCACTTTTGTTTGTATCAGAAGAAAATGGACCCATTAGATGCTTCCTTTGTCATGGTGGTTGTTTTGAAAACTCTACTTAAATGGGAGAAATCATGGAAAGAAGTTCTGAACAGAATAACTGAAAACAGCCTTTTCTGTACCAGTTGCTTGTTGTGTGTGTGATATAATAAAATCGTTATTCAATTTCAAAAAAAGGAAAAAGAAGTGGCCAAGATCATTACACTAGATTCCAGCCCCCATATCAGCCTTTGAGTTCTGCCCTAAGAAAGTCTCCTTGCATCTGCTCAGAGAAGACACAGCCAACCCTTCTCTTTTCCAGACCCAGAGCCCAGGGCTATCTTTCTTTTTGGAGCCCAAACATCTGAGTGGTATCCTTTGGACTTAAAGCGGGGCCTGCCTCTCCGAGCTGACCCTGGCAGAGAGGCCTTGGTGTAGTGCTGAGCATGGCCAGTTCAGCATTTCTTACATCAGTGACCCTCTTTCTCTGATGCTCAGGTGGAAAGATGAGGAGGTTTGGGAGAATCACAGGCATACAGATTATAATAGAACCTCCAAAGTAAATTATATTGTAAGGTGGTCACATCCATCACCTGTTAACCTTTGTCTCTTTTCTTCTTAAAAGTTTATTATTACAGGATTTCTCACAGGATCCAACAGGAAGGGAAAACGTCTGGTAAGTAATTTTTGTGACTTCTATGTAGTTTAAAATCTCCTACTTGCTTTACCTTGATCTTTGTGTACAAAGCCTGTAGTGACCTAGGATCTCCCAGGAAAACCTTTACACATCAAATTTGCAGTTCAGGTCATTCCCGTTTGTCAGTGTCACTATTAGCCTCCCTCCCTCCACCGTCCCGTTTCCCTGGTAAGCGAAACTGAACGAGTTGCTGAACGAGTTGCTTATGAGTACCCTTTACATTCCCTTGACTCAGTGATGTTCAACCAGTGTGTCGCAAGAATTCTTAAAACATGCAGTACCTGGCTGTTTAGTCGGGGGCACCGACCTCTTTACCCTTAGGTTGTCAACTTGAAAAATGACAACAGCCAACACAACAATAGCCGTCTGGTATGAATGAATCAAAATTATACCTATTTTTTTTGTCAGATCAGCAAGAAATATTTTTGTCTGCCATAGAGTTTTATTAATTAGTTTATGTGTGCCATGAGATGCAAAAGGTTGAAAATTACTGCCCTAACTCAATGGTTCTTAACTGGGGGCAGTTTGTGGCCCCTCCTCCACCTTCTCCCCTCCCCCAACCCCCCAGAATAGTTGACCCCTGAACACATTTTTGGTTGTCACAACTGGGTAGAGGGGTACTATTGCCATCTAGTGGGTAGACACCAGGAATGTTTCTAAACATCCTAAAATGTATAGAAGAGTCTCCCACAACAACGACAAAAAATTATCTGGCCCAAAATGTCTTTAGTGTCAAGGCTGAGAAACCCTGCTTTAGCCAAAACCAGTCTCAGGATGCCAGCGACCCCTCCCCCGACACCGCCGTCAACAGCAGCGGCTTCTCTTTGGGGCTTGGCCAAGCTCTGGAGGAAAGGGTGTGGCTCTGGTGCCAGGTCATTCGAGGACTGAATCAAGGTGATCACTCATTGCTGTATCAGCTTGAGGGGAAAATACCTACTTCAAAGGGTTACTTTGAGGATTGAAAGAGATATTACATACAAAAGGCTTGGTGACACTTACATGTTTGTAAACCACTCCGCTTTTTTTTTTTTAATAGCCCTGGAGATGTTATTTTCAGTCTGTTTCCATGGTCCTCTGCCAGGTCCCTCTAGGGATAGCTACACGCCTTAGGGAAGCTCTACTGGAGGAGGAATGCCTTGTCTCTCTCTGCCGGTGGACATAAATCAGGACAATGTAGATGAAGCCCCAAACGCTGCACTTGTCTCTGCACGGACTCCCTTTCAGATCTAAGCTATGTGCTAAGGACCAGGCGGACTGGCCCTGACTCACTGAGAGCTACGCAGATGAAGACAGGCAGGGCCTGCTGATTGAAAGACCTCAGCCCATTCAGTGTCCTCTCGGAGCCCAAACCGAGCCTCGAGAGAGCACAGGACCGAGCGTCGACGGCGCCGGCATTGGTGTGCCCCTGTGTGTCTTCTGCCAAAATGCCTGTTTGTATTCAGACCTAGGTTTGGGGTAAACATTAAGTCATAGGTATGCGTCCGAGTCCTGCCACATTAAGCCACAAGGTGCATTTCTCACCATAACAACATGATACTATCAAGGTAGAGCAAATACCTACTGAATGAGATGTGAGGTTTTTCTTTGTTTTTCCTTTAAAAGATCAATAGCATTGCTGGGGGTAGGCGAGCAGAACAATTCCCCTTCCTTCCAAGGAATTCAGACATATATACCAAAAAGAAAAAAATATGGGAACGAGTAGAAGGCAGTTGGATAGGGCAATGTGAACTTACACCTTTCATGTTGGCGCACTGAGATCAGGAAAGGAAACCTGTGCACCCCAGTCCAGATGTGTTACCATTTGAAACGATGTTAGTGATCTGGTGGGTTACTGTTTGAATCCCCGTGGGGAATGCAAGGCAGGACTTCATCTGTTCCGCTTACCTGTGTGTCCCAGGGGCCTACCTCAGTGCCTGGCACATAGCAAGTACACACTAAATATTTATTAAAATAGGTGAATAAATGGGTACTGCCTTATAACTAGGTGACACCACTTTCATTTTTAAAGGCAGAAATTAAGATTCCAAGAGATTAGCTATCTTGTGCCAGGCCCTAGTTCACTAGGGCTCACAATTAGGTCTGATTACAAGGCCAAGATGTTTTTTTTTTTTTTTTTTTTATCCTCACCAGAGGACATTTTTCCATTTTTTGTTCAGATAGAGCGGAAGAGAGAGAGAGGGAGAGAGAGAGAGAGAGAGAGAAACATCGACGGGAAAGGGACACATCGAGTGGCTGCCACCTTCACGACCATCCAGGGCCGGGGACAGACTGCAACCGAGGTACGTGCCCTTAGCGGGAACCGAACCCGGGTCTCTCTGAACCACAGGCCGACGATCTAACCTCTGAGCCAAACTGGCCAAGGCCCAGGATGTTTTCTAACAGGCTATGCTGCTTAGGATTGAGGAAGGTGGTGCATCAGGATACAATGAACATTTTCTTAAGTAGTAACCACAGAGCACCCTTTCTCTGCCTGTTCTCTTTCTTGGCTTCCTGGCTCATTCTAAAGCCTTTGTCTTCCGACTTTGATGACTCAGGATTGAACTTATCAAACTTTCGAGCATACTGACCTGACGGAGCAGTTCATCCTGGAGAGGTGTCTGGAAAGATAAATGCACTAAGAATTTATCACATGGCATTTTGGATTTTGTTTGGTTTTTAATTTATTTTATTATTGTTTAAAAACACTTTTTCAGGAGCAAGGCGTCATGGCCAGCAATGTGATCAGTTCCTTGGCTGCGGTGGCTGGGATCATTCTCACTATCATCAGCTTTCGGTATCAGCACGGGTACTGCCAGGTGCCTTCCGTCGAAGGGATATGCGTCATAGGCAGAGTCCTTTACAATGTAAGCCGTCTTCTTCTCGCACCATCATGTCTGAGCTACATTCACAATGCATTGATTCATTAGTTTTGATTTCAATAACTGACGTGTCTGCATTTGAACTGATTGTTGAGAACCATATCGTGACTCAACAGCCACGGTGTCTGGATTTGAAATCCTGCTTTTGTCCCTTATAAACTTGTGACCTTGACCTAACATTCTGTCTCCGCTGAGCCTCAGTTTTCCTCATGTGGAAAATGAAGGTAATAAGAATACCTACCTCACTGGGTTATTGAAAGGACTGCTTATTTAGAATGCTACCTGCTACAGTATAGTCGATAGGTTTTAGCTATTACCGTTAGGGTTGGCATGGATCGGATTCGATTTTACCTTTTCACCATTGATGAGGAACAGAATGATCTAAAATGTGTACTCAATATTAAAAACAAAATACAGGGGGAGAAGGTGTCTAAGTAACTTAATAAAATATGTTAATAATTTTAGAAGAGAAATAATTTTATATAAATGTAGCAGTGTTATTCATTAAAGCAGATGAGCCCAGCCAGTATGGCTCACGGGATTGAGCGTCACCCCATGGATTGAGCGGTCCGGGTTTTATTCCAGGTCAGGACACATGCCCGGGTTTCAGGCTTGATCCCCAGTGGGGGGCCTGCAGGAGGCAGCTGATGGATGTTTCTCTCTCACATTGATGTTTCTATCTCTCTCCCCCTTCCTCTCTCTCTAAAAAACAAAACGAAACAAAATGAAACAAAAAGCAGATGAGATGTATCTTTACCAGGAAATATAACTGTAGGTGTAATTTTATGTATTTCTCTAAAAAGTATTCTCTGAGATTATTTTTAAGCATATCAGTAATTCCAAAAGGCCTTTCCTTCTACTTCTCCAAGCAAAGCCTGGGGTTTCATTGTGTCTACCAGCCATGTCTTGACAGCTTCAGTCCTAGCCTGTTAATGAGATATGACCCGTTTGGATGGAAGTGAAGTGGAATCATGGGAAATTCTCTCCGCCAGTGAAGAAGGAAAGGAAAAAGAGCTATCGGTTACTCAATGCCAGTTCTTATTTAATCCTCAAAATCACTCATTAAAGTGAGTCTAAGGATGCTTTCATATGTCCTGAGATAAATTCCAGACTTAGACTCATAATAGGTTACCAAGGAAAGCCAGAAATCAATATAAGGGTCAAAATTCCGGTCCTGCTTAGGCCAAAAATATTATATAACATTATAATCCTTACCCTTTTCCGAGTGACCAGGAGGCCACTGCTGTACATTCCTTTAGTATAAACCAGGAAGAAGCTGTAGACTGAAAGGGTTAAGTCTCCACATAAACTCGCTGTCTGCTTGCCCCTCCCACATGGACGGGCTGCGGGATTAGTTCCTGCTCACAGAATCATGGAGGATTTGTTCCCACACCCCCACCCCTGTAGAACTCCATGATTCCTGGCTGTAACCCACACCTCGTAAACTAAAAACACCAGGACGGGGGGCTTTAGACATCTCTCAGACTGACCTCCCTTCCAAAGACCGTCCATGATCTCCACTGCAGCCAGTCATCACTTCAAAAGTCCAAATCTGAGGACATTAGTCGATGGCTTTCTGTTAAACGCAGAATTACGATCCCAATCTTAGCAGGCGTATAGGGCCCTGCAGCACCTAGCCTACCTGCCTCCTGACATCACTGCAGGTCTTTATCTTTCTTACTCCATTCTCTGCCCCTTCTTGAACTTCCTCGTTGTGCTAAGCACGCATGGCCCCAGGACCACAGACCAGCTTTTCTTGCTTCAAATGCTACCCAGCCCTGTGCCTACCCTTTTCCACCTATTCAGTGAACTCCTCCCTGTTCTTTATTTTTAAAGTGCGCAGCATTTTATTTTACTTATTTACTTATATTTATTTTTTTATTAAAAATTTTTAATGTTCCTATAATTGCAGGTCTCCTCCTTTTTCCTCCCTTTGACCACCTCCACCCACCTCGGCCTCCCCTTCCCCTGGCTGTCACCACCCTATGGTCCATGTCCGTGCGATATGCATGTATGTTCTTTCTCTAATCCCTTCCCCTTCTTTCTCCAGTCTCCCTCCCCAACCGCCCTCCACCCTTGGGCACCAGCCCGTCTGTTCCATGTAATTTCAGTTTAAACATCACTTTTTAAAAGAGGTCCTTCCTGACTATACCTCTACCCTCCACAGTGCCGACCTGGTCAGAACTCCCGTGATAACCGTGCATAGCTCCCCGTACATTTTCATCGCGTTTAACACAATTTAGCTCAGTAATTTAGTTATTTGTTACTGTCAGCCTTCCTTACTGTGATACAGTTCCACGAAGACCAAGACAAGCTCTCTCTGGTTCAACAGCTGAAGGCAGTGAATTTGCAATAGGCACTTCAGACCTATCGGTTTACCAGCAAATGGAGTATATTCAAGCTTTTGAATGTGTTGCAGAAAATGTAAGATTCAGAGAGACTCAGTCACTTGTCAAAGGTTCAGTGTAACTTTGGACCCAGTGGCACCCAGCTGTTTCCGTCTCCAGTGTCCAAGCTTTTGGGATGTTGTGCTATTCCAGGCTGCTTCTTAATCTAAACATTACCTTAAATCAGAGTGCACAAAATAGCAACTTCTGGGCGATAGTCAGCCCAAAGATATGTTCTAGTTGGTTTACACAAGTAAATAAATAACCGGAAGATTTCACATTAAAAATATGTATATCAGGCTTCCTTAGGAAAGAAAGAAGACTAAGCATCATGGGGCCCATATTCCCACATGGTATATGGGACTTAGTAATGGACGAATCCTACAAATACCTTTACTCTCTACCATCTCCCCTCCTACTGTTTCACTCATTTAAGATGGTTGCCTGGCCCCTATAGGCATTGGAGTTAGTTTCCCATTTATCAGGAAGACATAGGTGAAAATTGTTCAGTCATTGATGGCTAGGGAAACATCTAAAATACGGGTTTTGCTTTACTTGGTCATATAGTGTAAGAGCTCCCTGGCTTAGATCTTTAAAATGGAATCGCTTTCATCCTAAATATCATCTATTTATCCTTTTTTTTTCTTTTTTTCAGGGACTTTTGTCGGTCTTACTGATCATCAGCATAGTGGAGCTCAGCCTTGCTGTGACTATAACCTCCTTTAGAAGCAAGTGCTGGACCAGCTCAAATGAGGTGCGTTCCCATCGGGACACTCCAAGGTGATGTTTGGCCTATCAGTGGGCAGAGCAATATTCTCAGACGCTGAACTAAAACTTTTGAGTTTAGGAAGGTCAAGGAGGTACACGCTCACTCCACCCTTTGAGACAACTATGCTTTTTTTTCTTGTGCTGTTATCTCGTCATTCTGACACAACTCCTTATCTCCCTGTGAAAATAGATGAAAGATCAGACTTAATGGGAACCCATATGACTGTAGCATGTGGAGCGTATACTCGGCTCATAGGGGTGTGGCAGTTCCCTCACCAGAGAGAAAGCAGAGAAGAAAAATACCTAACAGTGATATTAATAGGAGCTGTAATAATCATTAGAGCGTACATTTACTGAACACCATCAGTCATTTTATAATCACTTAGCACCAACTTACTCATCTTAACAAAACTATTAGAGCACCTTTATTTTACATATAAAAGAACTAAAGCACAAACTAACCTATCCAGTGCCATGTAACCTCAGGATTCTGACTCAGGTAATGTGGTCCCAGAGTGTGCTCTCTAAATTCTGGATAACAGTTCCAGGACCTGCAGCAGGTGGCTCTTTTTCTTTTCTTTTCTTTTTTTTACATCAACTTTATAAGTATAATTTAAAACCATTAAAATGCACCAACTTTAATAAGTGTACCATTCAAGGAGTTTTGACAGATTGTGTATGCTTGTTTAGCTGCCATCACAATCAAGATGGAGCAAATTTCTCTCACCCCCAAAGGTTCCCTGGAATCTCTCTTGCAGTCAAATAGCTTCATCCCCTTGTGTAGTTATTACTTTCTCAAACTTCATAGACATGGAAATTTAAGTAAGTACTCTTTGTGTCTGGCTTCTTTCATTCAGCAACATGTTATGAGATTTATGCATGTTGTTGCATGTATCAATAGTTTGTTCCTTTTTTTGGTAAAGATATTTTGTTGATTTTTTTTTTTTCAGAGAGAAACAAAGGGAGACAGAGAGGGAGAGAAACATCAATGTGAGAGGAAAACATCAGCTGCCTCTTGCATTCTCCTCTATTGGGGATCAAACCCACAACCTGGGCATGTGCCCTGCTGACCAGGAATCAAACCAGCAACCCCTCAATGCATGGGATGCCCAACCAATTGAGCCATATAGACCAGGACTAATTTGTTCCCTTTATGTAAGGATACACCACATTTTTTTTTTTTTTTACTTTTGTCAGTATTACAGATGTCCCCATTTTCCCCCTTCCTGTCCCCCTCCACCCAAACCCTGCCCCACACCATGTTTCATATTCATTGACTTTTTGATGGGCATTTGAGTTCCCATCTTTGTGTGAACATATGTTTTCACGTCTTTTGGTGTGTTGTGTCTAGGATTTGATTGCTAGGTCATATGGTAAGTGGATGTTTATAAAAAAATGTCAAACTGTTTCAAAGTGACTGTACCATTTTGCATTTTTATCAGCAATATATGCAAAGTACAGTTGCTCCATATAATCACCAACACTTGAAATTGTCGGTTGTATTAATAATATTGCCATTCTAGTGGGTATGTAGTGTTAATTCATTATATCTTTAATTTGCATTTCCCTGATGACAAATGACGATGAAGACTCTTTCTATGTGTTTATTGTCCATCTGTATATCTTTTTATTTTTTTTGTCATGTGTCTGTTCAAATCTTGAGCCAAATTTTAGTGCATTATCTTATTGAGTTATAAGAACTAGTTATAACTGATTCTTAACACAAGTTTTTGTGAGATATATGTATTGCTAATATTTTTCTCAGCCTTGGCTTGCCTTCTCATTTCCTTAACAGTTTTCTTCAAATACGAAATTGGATAATATCGAATTTATAATTTATTTTCTTTTATATGTAGTCTTTTGGGTGTTCTAACTAACATTTGCTTACACCAAGATTGTAAAGATTTTCTCGCAGAAGTTTTATAAAAAGTTTTAGCTTTTATGTTTAGAACTATAATAGTTTTTGAGTTGAATTTTATGTATAGTTGTGAGGTAAGTTTAGTCATTCACACACACCACCACCACCACCACCACCACCACCATGGAGAGTTCCAACACTAGTTGTTGAAAATGCAATTCTTTCTCCCATTACTCTGGTACCTTTGTGAAAATCAATTGACTTCTTATTTATAGCTCTCTTTTGGACACTATTTTTTTCCATTGATCTATGTATCTATTCTTCCATGTATTCCACACCATTTTAATTTCTGTAGCTTTAGAGTAAGTCCTTCTCTTTGTGGTAAAGTATACATATTATTTATCATTTTTACTGTTTTTAAGTGTATAACTCAGTGGCATTATATATATATTCATAATGAATATAATAATCACCACTGTCTATGCCCAGTACAAACTCTGTACCATAAAATACAAAAATTTTGCTGGGATTATGATTGGCATTGCATCGGATCTATATATAATTTAGGAAAAATTTACTTATTGACACTATTTAGTCTTCTGTAGAACATGTCTATATTTTCTTATATCTCCTTTTATTTCTTTCAGCAATATTTTGTAGTTTTCAGTGGATAAGTTTTGTGTATATTTTGTTAAATTTATCCCTAAGTATTTCATAAGTTTTCTTGACATTTACATGGCATTTTCAAATTTTATTTTCCAAATATCCATTATTACACATGGGAACATTTAGTTTGTAGCACCTATCACACTATCTAAAAATATCTAACTGCTTACTATCTGCCATCACTCTTTACTATATCACAGCCTTATGTTTTTATACCCACTGTTTCCTCTACCTGGATTTTGACTCCTATCTTACTTCATGTTCCTTTTTTGCCTGAGGAATTCCTACTCATCAAGATATAGATCAAATACTACCTTTTCTATGAAACATTTCCTGGCTCTTTCAGAATTAGGTTATCTTCCCATGAAGCACTTAGTGGCTATTTACATAATAGCATTTGCTAAACTATACTGTTATCTATTTATATCTTGGTCTACCTATAATTGTGAGCACCTTATGGGAAAAACCAGCTTCTAATTATCTTTGACCTCCAGCATCTAATTCATCTAATAGATGATCAATAAATAAATAAATCTGAATATGTGAATATTGACTGAATAAAATGTCTTACACACTTTATAATGTTAAGTATGGTAACACTTTCAGACTATCTTCATCAAATTCCCCTATTTAACATTTGAGATAATAGTGGGTGATGACTTGTCCAAAATAAAACCAGTGAGTTGACAGTAAAGGCATTACTGCTATTTGTTTTCTTATTCCTCGTGTAGCTGTTATTTCCTATCTACTGTCTTAAGGCAGAGATAAAAATAATTTGGGAATACAAGAAGAAAAAACCATCAACAATGATTATTAAACTAATGTTTTTCCTACCCCTTGGTTTTATAGATTGTGTTTTTCTTACCTTTGGATATTACTCAAAAGAGTGAATTACCTATAACAGAAGAAAATGCTGTAATACAATTTGACTGTCAGGAAGAATCTTCCAGTGATGACTCAACAGCAAATGCACAACCTGTTTTCTTTGGAGGCTATACTTTCTTCAAGTTGAGAGCCTCAAGAAATCCTTTAACCATCCATCATTCAAGGAAGAGTGGCAGTAATATTGGCTACATATCTCCTTTATCTGGGTCAGATGAACAACATAAATATATCTCTTCTCCTTTAAAACATTATGAGAGAGAAATTGAGTCGAAAAATTTGCCTGTCATATTGGAGAAAAGGACCTCAGAAGAATTCGCACACACTGAACAAATGAGTGATGAAGATCTGCAATTTGCTATAGAACAAATCCCAGAAATGCAATCTCAGTCACTGCAGGCTAAACCCTTTCCAATCCAAGTTTTTCCATCCTATTCAGTAAAAAATCTTAAAGCATTACAACCCAAAGACTTGCCATCTCAAGCTCTGGTAGTAAAATCCCTGCTATCTGAAACCCCAACATCCCATGTCACACTGTCTCGTGACCTGACATCTGAAGACTTGCCATCCCAAAGCATATCATCCCAATTCACACAATCCCTAAACACACCATACCAAGACATGTCTTCCCAAGACATGCTTTCTCAATTACAAGTTCTACCAACACAATCCACGTTATTTAAAACCTCAACATCCTATGTCACACAGTCTTCTGACCTGATATCCCCAAATATGCTATCCCAAGACATACCATTCCAGAACACACAATCCCAAGGCATGCCTTCCCAAGCTATGCTTTCCCAACTACAAGTTCCGCCAACACCAGACATACTATTTAGAGCCCCAGTATCCCACATCACACGGTCTCATGACCTGATCTCCGAAGCCACACGATTTGAAGCCTATACATCCCATTCTATGCAAGCCTTTAATGTACAACACCTAGAACAGAAATCCCTGGATCATCATCTACAAAACATCCAACGTCAAGACCAGCAATTTACAAATATATCATATCAAGACATTCAATCAGAAGTCAATTTACTGACTCAAGAATGGAAATATAAGGAGAAACACCTAAGCAAGAAATCCACCAAGCAGTATGCCTTAGACCAGCATAACAAAGACTGGCAATCTTCAACAAAGCAACCCCTAGACTTGCCAATCCAAGGCCAGAAACCCCCAAGAAAGAAATCCTTAGACCAGCGAATCAAAGGCTGGCTATCTCCAAAGAGAAACTCCATAAATAAACAAGTTCGAGTTACACAATTTGCAGATCAGCAAGCTGATGACCAGCTGATCCGAGGAAAGCAATCCCTAAAGCAAAAATCCCAAAATGGGCAAGATGAAGGCCAGCAGAGAAGAGAGGAGAAATCCCCCAATAAACAAGCCCAACAACAACGAGCTAAAGACCTGCAGGCCGAAGAGGAGACATCTCCAAAGCAACTAGGTGAAGATCTGCAATCCCAAATTCAGAAATACCAAGACTGGCCACCTTTAGGCCAACAATCCCAAGATTTGGGAATTCAAGAATGGAGAAAAAAAGATTGTAAAGCACAAGAATGCCAATTTGAAATGAAGCATTCCCTAAATTGGGAATCCCAAGCCTGGCAAACCCAAGATCTATTAGAGAAAGAATTCCTAAAGCGGAAAGTTTTATACAAAGAAGCCCAAACTTTGAACGCTATCCCTCAACATCACCTTGATCAGCAATTACAAGACATCCCATTTCAAGACAGTCAGTATCAAGATAAGAAAAAAGACCTTCAATCCACTGGTATCCCAAAAAAAGATACGCAAATAAACACTATACAAACCAGAGACATCAAACTGACGTACATGAAAAGTCTATGCCCAAATCCAAGTGACCTGCGATCAGAAGACACGAAGCCAGAATTTCATCATTCTTCCTGCCAAAGCTCAGTACAAGGTGAATCTTCCACTTATTTGTCCAATGTAGGTTCAGAACAAGATGTGCAACAATACACTTCAATTAGCTCAACTTTATACAGAGAAGATTCAACTTTGACCTCATGTTATCTAAAGGATCAAAAGCAATCTGAAGACTCTGACTAACTTGCAGAATTTACCCAAATATCACACTGCTCCCAGTGATGGAACCAAATTAGGGAGAATATAGTCACCTCCAACCTATATTCTCAAGTATTGTTGCTACCTCATTCACACACCAGAAAATGAAGGATGTGCAAAACACTCAAAGTAAAATAAAGTGACAACAAATATTGATACTACTTCAGAACTTTCTGGGGTTGAAGGCATAATTCACATTTAAATTCTTTGTTACCAATGTTAGTGTTTTTTGGGTTTGTTTTTTTATCCTCAACCGAGGACATTTTTACATTTATCTTCAGATAGAGCAGGAGGGAGAGAGGAAGGGGGAGAGAGAGAGAAACATCGACGTGATAGAGACACATAGACTGGTTGCCACCCACACGACCCATCAGGGGCCAGAGACGAACTGCAACCATGGTACACACCCCTAGCGGGAACCGAATCCAGGTCTCTCTGGACCGCGGGCTGACGCTCTAACCGCTGAGCCAAACTGGCCGGGGCCAATGTTAGTGTTGCAATTCATTTTACAACTTAATATTTAGTGGACCTACTTTTCTATGGTGCTGATGTTTCTTGCCTCCTCCTCTGTCTATTACAGGGGCTTAGTATGCCAACCAGAAGGAAGTCTATGCAGACTCTCTAAGGGCTCAAGAACCAAAATAGTCAGCAAAGAATAAAAGTCAATTCAACCAGTCCTCTGTTTTGCTGTTCCCAATCACCCAATTTAATTGCCCCTGCCCAAATCTATGTTGAGGATATATCCTCTAAGTTTGTTCAACTATCAATGGGGTAACATGGCAATGAGGACAGAATGTGGTATAGGGAGAGAATAAAACACAACTAGAGATGGAAAAGTAGGAGGTAGAGAAGTGAGAGTAGGAGGCAGAGAAGCTTAGAGATGCAGATGTCATCAAAGAAAGTATGAAAGACCATAATATATTGAGTGAAACCCTAGCTCTCTTCCATAGGCCTGCACTAACTGCTTCTGACTTCTCAGTCCTTATAATACCTAATTTTATCCTCAATGGTCAGAGAAAATTGTGTGAACAAACGCCATCAGTTATCCTCCATCCTCCAAGTCTAATTACATTTTCCAACCCTCTCTGTCCTTGATCACTTTGACACATTTGGAGTTGCTAACTATCCCTTCTTTCTGCAATCTTCATCACCCTTGCTGGTTTCTGTGTTTTTCTCTCCCAGTTTCAAAAAGTCTAACGTCATTTTATGGGGACCTCTCAACAACTTTATATCTGTCTTCTACTGAATTCCACACAAGGCTTGCTTCTAGCAAGGATTCAATAAATCACTTTTAAAAACATGTAAGGAAGACTGACTCCTTAGACCAGAAAATTCTTAGACCACCCAGAGATGAGTGAAGTGTAGTAGAATAACAAGGTATAGAGCTGGAGAGACTGGTTTTATGTCCCCTGTCTTTGTCTCTGTAGTAAGGATTAGCCTCCTGAGTTTCCCAAGGAGGTTGTTCAACCTTGGTAAGGTCTCTACATGAGTTGGCCTCCAGTTCCTAAATGGTTGCCACTTTGTTTTCCACTTACTCTGAATAATACTAATAATTCCTCTTTTTGCTTCCACTAGATTGGCACATTTGCATGGTGCTCAGATAATGGCTTTAACTTTCAGTATACACACTCAGGTGTTCAGGAAATATATATTAGCACTTTTTAAATCAAATTCTTTGAGAATCCAACTCACATAGTCATTCCTGCCCATTCAGCCCCACACCCATACAACCCACATACACATGCACAGTAATACACAAGGGTTCTGGGCTCTTAAATAGTGCCAAGTCATTGGAGAGATGATTCCTATCATCGCTGACAAGGTCACAACATTTACCCCTGAAAACTCATTGTCCCACTTCACATTGACCTTATGTGTCCTATGAACTTGATGCTTCTATAGCATACTTGGAACAGAGGGCTTCCCCCCTATTATTGTATAGACACAATTCTTCCCTCTCACATTACAGATGTCTTCCCTCTCTCATTCATGTTTTTTCCACATGACAGTACAGATCCCTCCTATGAAGATATGGCGTCTATTTCCTTACTCCTCGAATCTGGATTGTCTATGCAGTTTGCTTAGGTCAATGGGACACCAGCACAAATGATTTAGCAGAGGTTTAAAGAACATTTGTGAATCATTGGAGAACCAAGTGTCTGTCAACTGCCAGTTACATGACTGAGGCCATACATACTAAATCATCTAGCTTTAGGCACTTGACCCGTTGACCACAGGTGTATGAGACAACCTGGCAGAGTAGCGCTGAGCAGAACAAGAACGGTAAAACTACCCATATGAGCCGGAGGATTGTAAGCAAAATCAAATGGTGGTTGGTTGAAGTCCCTAAGTTTTGAGGTCATTTGTTTACAGCTAAAGCTAATTAAATCAGAGAGCAAAAATAAAAAATAAATAAATAAACACAAAAGTGACAGCCTAAATAAATATTGTGTCTACTTTAAATAAAAGCTAATTAATTTTATGGCCTGAAGGGTTTTGCCCTTTACATGCCTAAAATAGAACTAAAATAAATGTTCACAATACTCTTTATTGGGGAACTGAAATGTTTTTATAGATCATCTAGTCCAACCTGATTAAAGTTCATTTAAGGAAGCTGAAACCAAGAGAGGGGGATGTGACTTTCCCAAGGTCACACTGAGTTCCTGACTGAACTAGGACTACCAATCAGGTCCTCTATCTCCCAGTCCTGGGCCTTTTATTCACTCACCTTCTTGAGATCCTGACGAGTCCTGAGATTCCATGATTTTGTGACTCTATGGTTCTAGAATTCCAAAACAAAGCACAATAACGCCAGTGTCCCAGACAGCCTTGGGACAGGATAAGAGCATGGTCTAGACTGAAGTACCAACTAAATAATTTTACACTTCAAAATATCAACTACACCATCATGGATTCAAGCACTTCACACAATCCTGTGTTTATAATATTTCCTCCAGAGGTCACTGTTTCCGAATTTCACTCAATGAAAAATACAACCACAGACTATGAGTCTACCATGCCCTTTCCAAAATTACTTACTACAAAAATAAAAATCTTTGGGGTAAGTAAGATTTGCCTCAATGTAAATGCTACAGAACGTGTGTTGTAAACTTATCATTTGTGTTTCCCCCAATTCATATTTGAAACCATAATCCCAATGAGATGGTGTCTGGAGGTGGGGACTTTGGGAGATAATTAGTTCATTTAAATGTGGAGCCTTCGTGAATGGCATTAATGTCCTTATAAGAAGGGGTTAGAGAATTCGCTAGGTTTCTTTGTGAGGATACAACAAAGAAGTCTACAGTTTGCAAGCCAGAAGAGGGTCTTTACCAGAATCTGATCATTCTGGCACCCTGATCTCAGACTTTCAGCCTTCAGTACTGTGAGAAATAAACGTATGTTGTTTACAAGCCGCCCAGTATATGGTACTTTGTTACAGCAGCCCGAGCTGACTAGGACAGAAATTGGCACTAAGAAGTTGGGGGCTGTTATGGTAAATATCTTTTTTTTTCTTAATGCATCTTTATTGTTGAAAGTATTACAGATGTCTCCCCTTTTTTCCATTGACCCCTTTCTCCCTGCTCCCTCCCCCTACTCTTGCCTTCACCACACTATTGTCTGTGTCCATTGGTTATGCATGTTTGCATTTAAGTTCTTTGGTTTTCTGGCTCCCCTCCCCCCTTTCCTCTGAAGTTAAGTCAATCTGTTCCCTGCCTCCATGGTTTTTTTGGGGGGTTTTTTTTTTTTATCCTCACCCGAGGATATTTTTCCATTTTTTTTGTACAGATAGAGTGGGAGGGAGAGAGAGGAAGGGAGAGAGAGAGAGAAACATCGATGTGAAGGGACACATCGAGTGGTTGCCACCCGCACGACCAACCAGGGCCGGGGACAAACTGCAACCTAAGTACGTGCCCTTAGCAGGAACCGAACCCGGGTCTCTCCGGACCGCAGGCCGACGCTCTAACCGCTGAGCCAAACTGGCCAGGGCCCTGCCTCCATGTTTTATGCTAAGCGAAATAAGCCAGCCAGAGAAAGACAAATATCGCATGACCTCACTTATGTGTAGAATCTAATGAACAACTGACTCTCTCTCTCTCTCTCTCTCTCTCTCTCTCTCTCTCTCTATATATATATATATATATATATATATATATATATAATATTTTAAAATGTGGAAGCAGCTTTTGTAACTGGGCAATGGGTAGAAGCCAGAAGAGTTTTGAGGTGCATGCTAGAAGAAGTTGGGATTGTCCTCAAGGAACTCATAAAGACAATTTTAGTGAGAGCTCAGAAAGTAAGGAGGAAAGCTGTAGAGAGAAAGGCTACACCTTCTCTGGATAATACTCAAATTATCCAGAACAAAATAATGGTAGATATTTGGATGATAAAGGTCACTCTGATAAGGTCTCAGATGAAAATGAGGAATATGTTATTGGAAAATGGAGAAAAACATAAATTCTTTTTGTAAAGTGGCCAAGAACTTGGCTGCGCTGTGTTTGTGTTCTAAGGTTCTATGGAAGGTAAAATTGTGAGCCATGGAGTTGAATAGTTAGCTGAGAAGATGTCTACATAAAGTGTTAAATAAGTAGCTTTTTTCCTTCTGACTGCTTACAGTAAAATGCAAGAAGAGAGAAATGACTTGAATTACTAAGCAAAAAGTAATTAGAACTTAAAGATTTAGAAACTTCTCAACCTATCCATACTGTAAAAACGGAGAGTTTGGGGAAGAGAACACAAGGGGTGGCCAAGGGGCCATTTGATCAGGAGATTAGTGTGGACATGAACCAAGGACTTAATCAGTTACCTAAGCAGGCAAATTATCTATCTGAACTGAAGGGAAGGGGGTCATGAAGGAGTAAAGGAAGGCTGTCAGACTTCTTGGATTTTACAGGCTGGGACAGTAGAGCTATTGGGCTGTGAATGTGCGCTCTTTTTCAAGACGAGAAGAACTCCAAAGGTGATTCAAAGATCATCAAGGCTACTACCCGAGTTTCAACAGACCAGGGAGGAGTGATCCAAACCCATGGGGATGGGAGCCTTGTGGACCTGACCTCTGTCCAGTGGAGCTGGAGGGACAAGACCACTACCTTAGTGGGTCTTGAAGGCAAGACCACCATCCCAGTGGATCCAGAGAGCAGAGCACCGAGCTAAAAAGGATTATGCTTAAGCCTGGAGACCTAATGGAATTTGCATCGTTAGATTTGAACTTGCTTGGAATGCTCATCTCTTTCTTCTCTCCTATTTCTGTCTTTTGTTGTTGTTATGGTAGGAATATTAAAACTCAACTCTCATAGCAACTTTCAAGTTTACAATACAGTTTGTTAACTATAGTCACCATGCTGTACCTTAGATCCTGGAACTTATAACTGAAAGTTTGTTCCATTTGACCAACATCTCCCCATTGCCCCCAACCCCTCAGCCCCTAACAACCACCTTTCTACTCTCTGTTTCTATGATTTCAATATTTTTTAGACTACACATATAAAGATTGTACAGTACTTGTCTCTCTCTGACTTACTACACTTAGCATAACTCCTTCAAGGTTTATCTATGCTGTTACAAATGTCAGGATTTTCTTCTTTTTATGTTGAATAATATTTCATTTTCTTTATCCATTCACCTATCAGTAGACACTTAGGTTGTTTCCATGTCTTACCTATTGTGAATAATACTGATTTTTCTTGGAGATAGTGGTTGTATTTCCTTTGGATATATACCCAGCAGTGGGAAAGCTGGATCATATGGTAGTTCTCTTTTGAATTTTAACCTGGGGATTCTATTCAGTAAGTATAGGATTAGGCCTGATAATCTGCATCTCTAATTCTCAGGTGAACCTAAGGCTGCCAATCCATGGACTATATTTTCAGAAACATTGATTTAGATCATTTTCTTTATTACCAAATACCAGGTAGAGGGATCCCAAATTACCTGGGTGCATTATAAACAAAGTTTTACTATCCTTACCTTATTAATAAAAGAGGATAATTGCCAAACCTTTTATCAAAAGGAGATCTTCTAAATTTTGGAAAGGGGAACGCGCCATTTTGCTCTTTTCTTACCATGTCTTTTTGTTCTATTTACAGACTATCCAGATTCTGCTTGGGGTGATGAACTTTTCTTTTGGAGTAATTTTCCTTTTCACCTTTGAAAAACCATATCCAAGGTTCCCCTTTATATTTGTTACAGGATATCCATTCTGGAGCTCCATTTTGGTGAGTATAGTCAATCAAGTTCAATATGAAGCCATGCCAACAGGAATATTAGAGAATTCTTAATTATAAAATGAACTACATTCTCTGTATGATAGGTTTGAAACATTGAAATAAAAATAAACCTTGTTGAAATTATTTTCCATCAGAGTTACTGATATTCCATCTTCAGGTCTTGAAGTTCCTTTGGAAATATTTCTTTGGGTCTTTAGGTTATTTGTCCACTCATTCATTCAAAATGAGTCACCATCTATGCCAGATGCATAGAAGAGGGCAATCAGGATCCAAAGGCTATTAATACATGGGCCTTTATTATGCAAAACAGCATGGAGATGTCTCCAAAAATTAAAACTAGAACTGTCATATGATCCAGCAATTTTTCTTCTGGGTATATACTCAAAGGAAATAAAAACACTATGTCAAAGAGATATCTATATCCCTATGTTCATAGCAGCATCATTTACAATAAGTAAGACATGGAAAAAAGCTAAGTGTTCTTCTATAGACAAATGGATAAAGAAGTTTACACACACACATGAAAATTCTGTCATAAAAAATAAGGCTATCCTGCCACTGTGACAGCAAGATGAAACTTGAGAGCATTATGCTAAGTAAAATAAGTCAGATAGAGAAGAAAAGTACAGTATGATCTCATTTATATGTAAAATCAAAGCAGGTGGGAGGTAGTAAAGGTTAAAGGGACAAATATATGGTGATGGAAGAAGATTTGTACTTGGATGGTGGGCGCACAATGCAATACACAAGTGATGTGTCATAAAATTGAAACCTTTATAATTTTATTAACCTATATCACCCCAACATATTTAATTAAAAAAAAAGAAAGAAAGAAAGAAAAAGAGATCAGATTTGAGGTTACCAGAGGCAGCGAGGAGGGCAGTTTCAAAAGGCATAAACTTCAAGTTATAAAATTTAAAAGGGATGAATGTATAACCCTGTACATGATGACTATAGTTAACACTGCTGGATGATATACATGCAATTTTTTTTATTTAAAAAAAAATTTTTTTTTATCCTCACCCGAGGACATTTTTTCCATTTTTTGTTCAGATAGAGTGGGAGGGAGAGAGAGGAAGAGAGAGAGAGAAACATCGACGTGAAGGGACACATCGAGTGGCTGCCACCCACACGACCAACCAGGGCCGGGGACAAACTGCAACTGAGGTACGCGCCCTTAGCGGGAACCGAACCTGGGTCTCTCTGTACTGCAGGCCGACGCTCCAACCACTGAGCCAAACTGGCCAGGGCTACATGCAATTTTTAAGAGAGCAGATCCTAAGAATGCTTATCACAAGGAAAAACATATTTTCTCTTTTTTTTCTTTCTTTTCCCTTTTTGTTTTATGTCTATATGAGATGGTGGATGCTAACTAAAGTTATTGTGATGATCATTTTATGATATACATAAGTTAAATCATTATGCTACACACCCTAAACTTAAACAGTGAGGTATGCCAATTATGTCTCAATAAAACTGGGGGAAAACAAAACTAACCAAACAATAATAGTAACACATGAAAAAAATTACCACATGGTTTGAGGAATGGTGACAGAGGACACACAAGCTGCCTTTACAGGAAAGGTACCTATAAAACAGACGGGAAATTGCCCAGAGACATTTCCAGCTTGACCTCATCTTAAAGAACACTAATCAGATGAAGACCCATGCAGAGGGAGGGGGTGGGGGATGACTAGGTGTAAGGGGTAGGATATCTTGCTGTATGCCAAGGGAGAAGCATGTAAAACATGAGAGAAAAGCTTAAGGTATGAGAGAACCCCTTCTATTCTGAGAACTGTAAGAATTCAGTGTAGAGAGTAGGAGGGGAGGGATGAGGCTGAAATCTAAAAATGGTTGTACTGTGATCAGATTTGAAGTTTCTACTAGACAATGATGCTACCACTAAGACTCATCCACGGAAATTCTTGAGATTTGTACAGAAGTTCCAGATTATTAGCTGCAACTCTGCAGCTAATATGATTTGACACCATTATGCCATGATGTCAAAGCTGAGTCTGCAACAGTTACAAAAGGAAGATGGATGAAAAGACTAAAGCCCAGTAAAGTTAAAAAAAAAAAAAAAAATCTCGTAGTCAAATAAATAGTTAAGGCTACAGCAAATTTCTAGTCCAATATTTTATCCACTATTCATTTATGGACAACCCATAGGAGGCATCACACCCTTCTCACTGCCCTGAGGATTGTGTGAAGTACCGAGGAGGGTCTGGGAAGATGTGTAGAAGTCTATTCTGTGAGAACTCTTTGCGTCCATCACTAAGATATGTATTCTTTTTAACAGTTCATTTATTCTGGAGCCTGCCTAGTTGCATTGGAAAGAAGATGCACAGAAACTCTGGTGAGTTGTATTTCCCCTTTATTAAAAATGTATTTATAACTTTAAAATAATTCATTCAAGCTTTGAAAAGAAATTTGGAAAGTCATTAAACTACTATAATTCTACAAACTGTCAATTACTTATAACAATCAATGTTGTTTTCTTCCTTTTTTTCCCCCCCATAGAATCATAAAACACTAGTGTCAAAAGCGAGTTTTCTAGGTCATCCAGCTTAATTGTGATTTTATATATAAAGACACCGAGGCATAGAATAAACGTCTTGTCCAAGCTCCTCAGCCAAATGGCAGAATGGGTCTCACTCTTCCAGTGGCTCACTCATTCTTTCTCTAAGTGTTTCTGCATGCCAGACACTTTGACTGGCAGTAGTTTGACACTCAAATGATAGGCACACTATGTAGATGACATGATTAAACCTGATAAGCAGAATCAGAAAGTAAATAAGTGTTCATGGAAGCAAAATTTTAACTTACAGATAAACTCTAAGTAGAATATTTTTACTTTTCTCAAAGAATCAAAGCTATAAGATATTAATACGCCAATAAATTATTTTCAGCAAAGAATACCAGCTGTAGGTTTGTAGTTTTAGGAAGGAATAAAAATTGCAACTATATATGTATTTAAACAGAGTCGTGAAACAAAAAAGTAAATAGGTAATGACTTTGGCCAGAGTATCAAAATGTAACGTGGCTACCCCTAAGAACTCTGTCCAATGTGTACCCCTCCTCCTCAATGAAATGGGATTAAAATTCGGCACAGATTATGGGGGGATGGAAGGGTGACTGAAAGTTCACTGCATACCCTCATTCTGTAGATGAGGGCCTGAAGCCCAAAGAGGTGAAGGGACACTCAGAAGAGGGCTGCTTCATGGCATTGTGACCAAAATCCTGCTCTCCAGTCTCCCCGCCACACTGTTCTGTCTATAGACTCAGACAAGGCCTGGTAACTGTGTTATGTTCTCCTTGTCTTCCAGATGAAGATGAGCCGAACAATGAACTGCTTTAGTGTTCTCGCAGCAGCAGCTGGGATCATTCTCCTTGTATTTGGCTTCAGTTTGGATCAAGACTACCTTTGTGGCTATTCTGGACAAGTTAGTCAGTGCAAGGCTGTCAACACCTTATTCATTGTAAGTATGCTGCATTTTTAGGGTGAGGAGTCATGTGTTCAATCATATAGCTTTACTAGGACCTAACAGCTCCATCCAAATAATGTTACAGACAAATGCAGTTTTTTACTCACAGACTTGTACAGAAATCATAGTATCTAATAGACAGTCTACCAGGCATTGTAGAATAGAAAACTAAACATATTATAACCCTCAACTTTAGGAATTGACAGATGAGTAGAGGAAATAAAACATGTACATCAACATGAACGTAACATTAAAAAAAAAAGTGATATACTAAAAGAAAAAATAGCTATAGCATGGTAGTAGTTGTAGCCCTCACGATGTACAGTAGAATCGTGAGTGAAATGTTTTTATGGTTTCATTTTTAATATATAAACTGGGCATCTGATAAAACATGATAGATTGAAAACAGGCATTTATTTCTGCTCTTTTCAAAATCCCACCAGAATTAGTGTAAAGGCACGTAAAAGATATAAATCTACATGGAGATAAAAAAAAAAAAATAGCCAATAAGGCTCATCAAAAATTGCTGAAAAAACTGAAAACGAATCCCCTGAAGAAAGGGCGTTCCTGACAGAAGTAACATATTTCATACGGCAGATTCTAAGGAACACTGAGCCTTTGGATAAAGTAAGACCACAGAAAACAGGGGAAAGAAAAGAAAAGTGATTCATTTTGGTAACAGTAAACCGGGATCTGTGAATCGACCCTCCTCTGAAAACAAATGCTACATTTTTTAAAAAAAAAAGCAACCACAAAACTTTTAAAACAACTTAAAAGTCCCGAAGAGCTGCAAAGTCACCTGAAACTCCTAGATCCAATTTTTAGGCAAAAGCCTAACCTGAAATCTGGCAGTGGAAGGGCCAAAGGGAAGCAAAGGTACTGACACGTCAAGGCCGTTTGCCAGTGTGGCCCGTTTGGAATCTGACTCCAGTCTAAGTGCAGTGAGAGAGGGAGAACCCAAGACCCGTGCGGTCTTGTGCTCTGCCGGGCTATGCTGTGTGGCACTGCGGGAAATAGCTGTGTACTGTAATGAGCCTCCACTAACTTGCTTTGAAAGCATGAGGTGCACTTGAGATGTGGGGGAGCTTTCTTACCTGGGCATTGCCACCTCACTGTCATCTAAAAAAAACCCTTTATTGTGCTAATACCATGACTCTTCTTTTTTTTTCTTCTTCTATTGCAGGGGATCTTGATTCTGTTGATAGCCTTCAGCACTATTGAACTACTCATTGCTATGTCTTTCTCGATTTTGAGTAGATCCTTTGACTGCTGTGATTGTGAGGAATGGTGTTGAAAAGCACCGTGAGAATAAAGAAGTGTGATAATATCACAGAGAGATAAAGTATATTTGTGAGGAAAAGGAATTTAGACTCTTCAGGCCGGCAACTCTTGGAAGCAAAGGGGAGGGACTCAGGGGAGCAGGGCTGAGGAAGATTTTGGCTGATAAAACCCATCCTGCCTCTTTGCAATGCCATCTCTTCCTCTCCCCAAATCACTTGGTGTCACCTCCTTCGCCAGTCATGTGCTCACTGAACTAGAGAACAGCTGTGTGTTGTTGCCACTGTAACAGAGAGAAATGAACCAAAGCCCAGGGTGTGCAGTGACAAGTCCTGCTGATTTCTCCAAGAGGCTCTGCCTATTGGCTCCTACTCCATTGTTGTGTAGACACATGAGTTGGGTGCAAGAATGGCCCACAAATTTTATACTGATTGTGAAAGGTCAATATTATCCACTTATCACAACTCATAGTAACATTAATGAGGGAAAATATTGGTGAAAGCCATATAATGTTCTAGGCACTGTGTGAAGTATGTTACGTGTATGACTCATTTAATCTCAAAAAAATTCTAAGAGGCAAATTTTATTATGATACCCATTTTGTGGACAAGGAAGCTGAAGTACAGAGAAGGTAAATAATGTGCCCAAGGTCACAAAGCTTACAAGGGCAAAGCCATGATATCAACAAGCAGTGTGACTCTAGGGCCCAAGGTCTTAAATCTCATACCAATGTCTCTGAAACCTTTGGTCTCAGAACCCCTTTTATACTCTTAGAAACTATTGAGGATTCATTATATAATACTACAAATAAACCTTTTATTAAAATAACTTTATTTTCCAAAACAGAAAACAATTAGTGTGGAGAATGGTACTAATATATAGTTTTGCAAATCTTTTTCCCCCAATTTTTATTAATTTATTTTTGTTACAGATGTTTCTCTTTCTCCCCTCCTAGTCACCCTCTTCCCCATCCTGACCCCCCAAGCCTCCAGCATTGTTGTTTATGTCCATTGGTTACATATACATGCCTATAAGTTCTTTGGTTCATCTCATCCATCCCCCGCCCCCATACTCTGTGGTTTGTCAGTCAGAACCATACTCCTTTCTATGTCTCTGGGTCTATTTCTTTCATCATCCCACCTTGGAAAATCTCTTTTTTTTTTTTAGATTACTTAACATTTTTTTATTTTACTTTTTTTTTTTAGCTTTATTGAGGTATAGTTTGTATACAAAAAGTTGCACATATTTAATGTATCATCACCACAACCAAGGTACTAAACATGTTCATCACCTCCAAAAATGTTCTTGTGTTCTTTTGTTGGGTTTTGTTTTTGTTTTTTCTTTTTGGTAAGAACACAGCATGAAATCTATTCTTTTAACATACTTTACAGTGCGCAATACTGTATTATTAACCATAAGTCCTCTGTTGTACAGAAGCTCTCTAGAACTCACCCTCATAACGGAAATATTATACCCACTGAGAAACAAATCTCATGTAACTTTACTGCCCAACAAACTTTTTTATACCCCAATGCACCTCATACCAATGAAATCAGAGCATGATGAGAGCTGGGCACCAATTGTTTTCAAAGATCTCTAGGTGACTCCAATGCAGAGCCAAGTCTGGGTGCTACCGTATCCCTCTAACTTAATGGATAACAAGTGGATTCTCGTACCTTCTTTTGTATTAAACCTATTGTGATATCTCATCTTCTATAGCCTGAGGAGAATACCACTGTAGACTCATGGAAAAGGATAAATAGGTCTTAGTATTATTATGAAAATTGTTTTGAGGTCACAGCCCACCCCCCGCCAAGGGTCTCAAGGACTCCAGAAGGTTCCCAGACCACACTCTGAGGACAGCTGCCTTATATTATATTGTGTCCACCAATGGAATACCAGCTCAGCATTAGAGCTCCTACCTCTGTCATCTCATGTAACTGTCACGACAGCCCACTGAGAGATATGACTAGCCTATGTCACAGACATGGAAACTGAAACTTAATGTGGTTAACTTTTCTGAGACCACAGAGGGAGTATGATTTCGAACCAGGATTAGAAGCAAGATCCCCCCACTGCAAATCCCATTATCTTAATGCTTCTTTTGGAGCAGAAAACACTTGGCAGGTTTCCATTTCTGCTATGAGCTGGAAGGAAGTCGACCAGTTGGTGCATATACGAGGGCAGAAAATAGGCAATTGAGATTCTGATGAAAAGTCTTTATTTTTAAATATTTATTTTTAAATATTTATTTCCAGTGGAGTGAGGGTCTGATGAAAAGTATTTGGCGGCAACTGAGTGAGGTTCAGATACGTAAAGTTTGAGATATATTTATGGGTGAGATGCTGTCACCTCATGGTTAGGGCTTTTAAGTCAGACCTGGTTTTAAATGTCAGTTTTGCAATTTAAAGCTGATTGACTTAAACACATTTTTTAATGGTTGTGAACTTTAAATTCCTAGACTAAAATGAGTAATAATATCTCCCTGGTGGTTTACATGAGCCTTAACTAAACCATCTGAACTGGTTTTATCAGTGCTAAAACTTAAAAATCATGTAGAAAATGGTATGTTTTCTTTTAAATTTATAATTGAGGTTTTCTTGCTTTCCAAAATCACGTTATATCAATTACTTTGTGATTTTGGCTCAGTTTCCCCCATTTCCTGAGCTTTAGCTTTCACAGTTATAAAACAGAACCAATACTATAGCGTTATATGGACAGTGCTTGGCATATAAATAAGTACTCAACTGATGTTACTTTCCCAACTGTTAAAAATGTGAAGTAGTCCCCTAGGACAGAAAGACAACCTTATAAACTACAAAGCTCTTAAGTACTCAAATTTACATTTTCCTGAGTTTTAATTATTTGTAAGTATAACATTGGGACTTTCCGACTTGTAACCAAGTTCTATTTGCTACCAGAGGGAAGTGGGGTGGGGAGGGAGCGAAGGGTAGAGGGGATCGAATATATATATGGTAACGGAAGATCTGACTATGGGTGGTGGGCACCCAATGCAACATATATCATCAATGTAATATACAGATGATATAGTATAGAACTGTACACTTGAAACTTATATATTCATATTAACCAATGTTACATCAATAAATTTAATTTTAGAAAAGTATTGGTTATAAGGTCTTTAGTTTCACCTCTGAGGGACCCTGAATCTCCCTAACTGATTCTCTGAAACCTGACCTTCCAGCATGAGGTAATTCCAGTGTCAGTGCTGCCTGATCGTGGAGAGAGTGTGGTGATCACCTAAATGGGAGGCAGAACCCAAGCAGAACCGTCATCTCTCTCAGCACTGCGCAGAGCACAGCAATCTGGCCCTGTTTACAAGGGACCTACAGGCCAGTGGACATGAAGAATTATGATAGTACATTGGAATGGCATTGCAAAATGTAGTTTTCCATAAGAGAGGCAAAAATGTCTCCAGGATAAAAGTAAATATGGGTGTCAGGAGGTAGGGGGGTAAAAGGAAGAAAAATTCCTATCAGGCAAATGTTAACTAAATAAAAGTTGAGTTGATAAACTTTTATGTAGATTTCAAGAAAGAGATCATTATATGGAAGCAAGAAGGCCACTAGATAAAGACAAGAGGTTTAATTCAGAGAAAAAAATTCTAAATGTATAATAGATCTCATAAGATATTCTCAAACATAACAGGGGCGGGGGGGGGGGGGATGAAACCAAAAAGTCCTACTCACAAACTCAAATTATAATCGGGATTTCAACACACTCAAGCACCTAAAGATCAATCTATCCAAACTGGCAAAGGCTAAGTGAAAGCTTATTTATGTATATAAATTCAAATTCAAGTTTGTTCTGGAGCAATCACACATAGAGCCACCTAAATGATCTTACTTGGTCACAAAAACAAACAAACAAACAAAAACAGAGTAGCAAACACCCCAAGACAGACTTGGGGAAAACGGGGCCCATACAGAGATAAGGATTTGAAGAATTAGGTGTGCAACCCCAACTCGTGCCTCCTTGATGCCAGGCATTTGCCAGGCCTGACCCCTCTCCCATGCTCACTAAAATGAATGCACACCCCTCTAGCCACCCAGCATCCTGGATCCAAACCTAGGGCCTCACAATCATCCCCAACTCAGACCCTGTGAAATTACTGTCCCTGTCACCAATCATTCAAAAACTTAAGCAGATACTCACAGACCCACAACCAGAATATTAAATGGATGGCGGAGCTTATGTTTCTTCTCCCTGCAGCTTTTATAATAGGTGAGTGCATGGCTTGCTTGTGTGCACTCGATGACAGTGTGTTCTCCAATCAAATGGTAGCCTGTTCCACTGATGAGCTGTGCTAGTTGTGGGGAGGTGGCATTTAAAAATTTTTGTATTAATTAAACTTGTTGGAGCAGCATTGGTTAATAAAATTGGTTCCCAAAGACAAGAGAAGTGAAGCAAAGTGAAATACATTAGATGGTATTTTTTAAAATGTTGCATCCAAAGCAGCCTCTCCAGAACTACTGCTACCCATTCGTTCTAACCCTTCTGATTCCAAACTGTCCTAAAGAGAGACAAAGGGAGGTAAAGAGAACAGGAGAGAGATATAAATCAACCTCAGATTCGGCAATAGAGCTGCCATATTTCAGCCCATAGATTATGCAAACAATTACTTAACTACAGCCCTGGGTGTCTAATGAAATAAGGCAATGGACAAGGAAATTAAAAAATAATGTAAACTCCAACATATGAACATATAGTAGTCCCCTATCCATGTGGGATATATTCTAAGATCTCCAGTGGATGCCTAAAACCACAGGTGGTACTGAACCCTGGATACATTATATTTTTTCCTATGCATACATGACACTACATGGCCTCTCTTTGTTATGTCCAAATTGCCAGCATCACTACTTCTGTGATTTGGGGCCATTATTAAGTAAAATAGTGGAACACAAGCACCGACACACCACCACCGTTGATCTGATAACCTTGACGGCTACTAAGTGACCGGTGGGAAGGAGCATGTACAGTGTGAAGATGCTGGACAAAGGGATAATTTACGCCTTGGGTGGGCCAGAGCAGGACAGCATAAGATTTTATCACACTATTGAGAATGACATGCCATTTAAAATTTATGAATCGTTTTTTTCTGGAATTTTTCACTTAATATTTTCAGACCGTGATTGACTGAGGGTAACTGAAACCCCAGAAAGTGAAACCACAAATGGGGGGAGCTACTGTAAAGGCTGTATAGAGTGGGGGTTGGGGTACAGTATCATTGGGCAACACTTTCTTTGATTCACTTCCTAAGCATTTGCACTCCCCTGGCCACCAGATCCCTCCATTCCCTCCCTTGATCTAGCAGTGGGCTTGAGAGCCGGAGCTCCAGCCCAGAATGAAAAGAGAGGGGACACGAGGGACCTAAACCGATGGAGGAAATGGTGGGTTTGCAGGTAGAAGTGCTATTTCCATTCATGTCCCCAAATATAAAATTCTTGTCTCAAGCTTCTGGGGAGGTGTTCTACAGCACCAGAGTATATATTTTTAGGCCATTTCTCCTCACTCCGACACAGGACGTAAGTGGTCCCACTAGAATCCTAAGTGTGGGCCAAGGAGACAGTATTTGGAGATGGACTCTCCCAGGGCACAGGCTTAATGATTCTTGACTCTCTCTGCACGGATGCCTCCTTCCCACCTACTCACTCCCAAAAATGAAATAAAAAGGTAAAAGTCTTCACAGCTCATCTTTGCAGAATTTCTAGAGCCCTTGCCCTTGGGGACCCACGGTCCGCACCTGCTTGCAGGGTGGGGGCTGCGAAGCCCTTCTAATTAAGGTAGCGTAAAGTACGCCATGCAGTCCCCTGGGGTCTTTTTCAAGAAGTGAAACCTGGGACTTCCGGTCAAGATGGCGGGGTAGGTAAATGCGGTATCGCGTCCTCCCACAACCACATCAAAGTTACAACTAAACTACAGAACAACCATCCAAAACCGCCTGAAATCAAGCTGAATGGAAGTCCTACAACTACGGAATTAAAAAATGCAGCTACATCCAGACTGGTAGGAGGGACGGCGGCACGAGGGGCTGGTCCCACACCCACGTGTGGCGGATAAAAATCAGGAGGATACCTCGGCTGGGAAGGTCCTTCCTGAGGACTGAGGGGTCCCCGTCCCACACCAGGTGCCCCGCTCAGGGTTCCAGTGCCAGGAAGAGAGTCCCCATAACTTCTGGCTGGAAAAACCGGCGGGAACTGAGGCTCAGGGAGGCTGAGGTGGCTGAAACCCCAGGCAGCTCCTTAAAGGGCCCAGGCACGGACTTATCGGACTCTCTCCCTCTAAGCTTGGAGGGGAGGCAGCTCGAGGGGCGCCAGAGACATACAGGGAAGAACTGAGCTGTTTGGCACTGGAGCGAGGGCTGGAGAGGGGGCTTCCTCGGGGACAAACGTGCTGTCAGAGGCCTTTGTTCCTTTGGTGAGCCCTTCCCGGGGGCGTCAGACAGAAGCCACATCTGGGACTCCAGCAACTTGGTTCACACTGGTAGCCCCGCCCTGCTGACTCCCTGAGGCCCTGTCCCGCCCCACACAACTTTCAAGCCCACCCAAGCTGTTGCCACTTGCTTAAGCATAGGATAGGCCGGTTTGGGATCCTGCTTCAGGTTTTTCCTAAATTCTTTCAAACGAGCAGCATCGGGTCTCAGCGAGCCCCATACCTCTCATTAAGTAATACACAGGAACAAACACAGGGAGGCAGCCAAAATGAGGATACAAAGAAACAGGTCCCAAATGAAAGAACAGAACAAAACCCCAATAAAAGAACTAAGCGAAAGGGAGATAAGCAACCTAACAGATACTGAGTTCAAAATACTGCTTATAAGGATGCTCAATGAACTTAGGGAGAACCTCAGTGAACTTAGGGAGGGCCTCAAGAGCATAAAAAAGGACCAGTTAGAAATCATGGATACACAGTTAGGATTGAAGGAGGCATTAACTGAAATAAAGAATAATTTACACAGCTTCAATAATAGAGTATGTAAATCCAAGGAGCAAACCATCGATTTGGAATATAAGGAAGCAAAAAATCCCCAATCAGAACAGCAAAAAGAAAAAAGAATCCAAAAAAATGAGGAGAGTGTAAGGAGCCTCTGGGACAACTTCAAGCGTGCCAACATTCGCATCTTGGGGGTGCCCGAAGGAGAAGAGAAAGAACAAGAAATCGAAAATCTGTTTGAAACAATAATGGCAGAAAACTTTCCTAACTTGGTGAAGGAAACAGACATACAAGTCCAGGAAGCACAGAGAGTCCCAAACAAGATGAACCCCAAGAGGCCCACACCAAGACACATCATCATCAAAATGCAAAAGGTTCAAGACAAAGAGAGAATCTTAAAAGCAGCAAGAGAAAGGCAGCTAGTTACCTACAAGGGAGTTCCCATTAGGCTGTCAGCTGAATTCTCAAAAGAAACTTTGCAGGCCAGAAGGGAGTGGCAAGAAATATTCAGAGTGATGAAAACCAAGAACCTACAACCAAAATTACTCTATCCTGCAAAGCTGTCATTTAGAATCGATGGACATATAAAAACTTTCCCAGACAAGAAAAAGTTAAAGGAGTTCATCACTACCAAACCGTTATTATATGAAATGGTGAAGGGTCTTTTTGAAGAAAAAGATAAAATATATGAACAAACAAAATGAACAGGAAGAACAGAAACATTCTCATAGATACAGAGAACATTTTGTTGGTTGCCAGTCGGGAAGGGGGTTGGGGGAATAAGTGGAAAAGGTGAAGGGATTAAGAAGCACAGATTCATTGCTAGACTGACAAACCTCAAAGGGAAAGGGGTTGGGGGGGGGAGAAATAAACCAAAGAACTTATATGCATAACCAATGGACACAGACAATAGTGTGGGAAAAGGTGGGAGGGGGGCGGGAGTGGGGAGGAGGAGGTCAATGAGGGAAAAATGTGGAACATCTGTAATACATTTTACATCCAACAATAAAGATTTGAGAAGAAAAAAAAAAAGAAGTGAAACCTCCTGGTAGGGCAGAAACTTTTTTGTATATTCTTTGGCTCTGGTAAGTGTGTATCAAACCAGAGTTATTGAGGCAATGCCCAAGGTAGCAGAAGCCACTGGTTTCCTGTCACCTGGTATCTACCAGAGACAGATCCCAGGGCTGGTCTAACTCACTCACCCCTGGGTACTTGAAAAGGTAGCACTCGAGTGAACTCAGCAGCAAGCATCAAATCAGCCCTTGAGCCCAAGGCCTTGGAGACCCAGGTAAGGAATCAATTTACTCTGTTTCAATGACTGAAAGAAAGTGATGGAATAAGGTATAAGATGGTTTTGAAGACTGGAGTTTTTCGGCTTTAATTCTAGGGCTTCTCTGGTCAGGTTTTCTCATTAGTGTTACAATTTGAGGAGGGGTGATATCAGTGCTTGCTGCCCACCCACTCTCTTAATCAATCTCTCTCTCTTTCTCTCTCTCTCTCTCTCTCTCTCTCTCTCTCTCTCTCTCTCTCTCTCTCGTCTCTGATGCACTCGCGATTCTGGCCAATTAACTTCGAATCATGCTACAAAATAACACGTTGCAGTATGCACATAGATTAAAGCGCAGTTGCCAACCTGCTGGGCTCAAACCTGCACTCTATCACATTCAAGCCATACAACCTCAGGCCAAGTTACTAGACCTCTGTGTTCTCAGTTTCCTCTTCTATAAAACTGAGGCAATAGAAACACCCACTGCATTGTGAAGATTAAATGAGCTAAAATCTCGAAGTTCTTAGGACTGGTTGCCTGGTACCAAACAAGAAAATAACCAGTTGTGGCTATCATGAAAATAACTCTATTCCTCTTGCTTTAAATTCTTTTCTCTCCAAAGATATCTCACTAAGTATAAATATCCCTAGATGTTCTTAAGTCTGAGGCTAACATTTCTGGAAGGAGTTGATGGACACCAAAATGAGCCCCAAATCCTGCCTCAAATCCATCACAGAAACTTAGAGAAAGAGTGGGTACTGGAGACAAGAGGACACTTTAATGAAAGAGGACAAAATAAATTTTAACCAGGTCTTAATTGTTGTCTAAAACCAGTATATGATGTGACTCCCTTTCCCTGTTTCCCACAAAGTGGCTTTATCTTACTGGTTGGATCACTTTTTTTGTCCGATGCTCTGTGCATTTTATAAAACTGCTCTGAGGAAGCAGTTCAGTGTGATGCTCGTTCTAACATTTACTGAGCTCATAGTACAGAGAAGACAGGTTCTCTGTGTAATCCTGGTAGGACATTTCCTTGTGGGAATTGCACCCCACTAGAGAATTTACAATATGACATAGAAAGGACTCAACTGATGGCAAGTAGGAGTCGCTGCCATCGGTGGGAAGAGCAAGAAAAGCCTCGGGTGATGTCTTGTGGGTTGTTTGACTGAAAATGAAGAGGCAGGAGGAGCATTTCGCAATGGAGAAGATCCTGGGGAAAAGGCAGGAAGCGTGTCCAGCCCAGTGGCTCCCGCTCCCGTGGGGGGAGAGATGGAGCTTACGAAGTTAAGTAGAGCTGAATGGTGAAGGGCTTCTCCACAGACAAGGACAAATCGAAGAAAGAGTTCAAGCCCAGGAAGACCATGACTTAAGTAGTGATTTAGGGCATCTGATCACAGGCTAACATTTCTGGAGGGGGTTGGTGGACACCAAATGAGCCCTAAATCCTGCCACAAATTCATCACAGGAAGGTGGGGGGGGGGTTTAGAAAAGAGAAAGATTGAAGGCAGAAAAGCAAGATTTTTGTGCTTTAACCAAGAGAGGAAATGAGAACTGAATGCATGAGGTACTAGTGGAAATAGGAAAAAGGTTCACCTGTAAGATAAGGTGCACTGCAGAGGCTGATAGGCATGACCTGGCTGTTGAGTGACCGTGGGAGACAACGGAGTTGAGGGACAGATGACCCCAACTTTTTCAGCCTGGATGATGGGAACCAGAAACGAAGCAATTGGAGGGATGACACCCCAGGAGAGGCCAGTGACTGCAGCACAGTCCCTGAAGAGAGCAGTTCCAGTTCAGTGGCTGGGCTGCAACTGACCGTGAAGCGTTGATGAGTGACGGGGCGGGGAGGCAGTGGAGGAAGGGAGTGCAACCCTCAGCTTTTAAGAGGCTGTGGGTAGAGGACAGGGGAGACTGGACAGTGGCGAGGGACACTGCTAGATTAAAGAAAGGGGCTTTGGGACTGGAGGACATTGCAGCACATTTTAATCATGAAAAAAATAGGTCCAGTAGTTACAATTATTCTTTGAATGTTAAGTATCTTATAAATTGCAAGGTATCTCACGTTCTCAAAACAAAACTTTGAATAGAGAGATCACAGCGGTAGCAAGCAACGGAGCTGAGGACTGGCTCCTGCTACACAGCCTCACAAATAGTGAGAGAGATGATGCAAAAACTGACGTCTTTGAAGGACTCGGGTCTCCGCGAAAGGAGACGGGCTGAGATGCCCCGGCAGAGGGAAAGGAAGTAAGAGCATTCTTTCTCAGAGATAAGTACACAGGAGGCCAGAAGGGTTAAAAATGAGAAAGTATTTTGAGTAGCAAAGGAGGAAGTTGAGGTAACAAAGGGGAAAATTGAGGTAATGAAAGCTTTGAATGTCTCAGTAAATGATAAAGTTATTGGACCTCAAGGTCATTAATTCAAACCCAAACCCATGAAGGCTGTGACCTCTTCAGTGGATGGACAGAAACAGTAGTGCTCATTCCACACTGGTCATGGAAAAATGAACTTCTCTGAACCTCCATTTCCATGTGTGCAGAAAGGCAAAATGCCTACTTAGTGAGAAAGGTGTTGGGAAAGTCAGAACTAAACGCGTATACACTACCTGTGGCACATAGTAGGTGCTCAGTGAACAACTCTATGTGGTCTAGCCTGTGGTGCAGCAGGAAGAGCACCAGCGTCTGGTTGGGCTCGGTCACTGAGTGCAAGGTCTTCAACAAGGCATGTGTCATCCCTGGGCCACAGTTTCCTCATTTGTCAAATGAACAGAATGGTTTCTGAGGTTCCCCTGACTGGCTCTAAAAATTCTGCCTAGTGACCAGAATCCGTCTGTAAACTTCCTAGCGGGCTACATTAATCTATTCCTTTTGGTTGGTGGTCTTTTAGGGTGGTTTGTGGTACAAAGCAGATCCCCAAAACCACATGACATCTGATCATCTAGAGCTCTGACAAAATTACATGCAAAGCACTCAGTCAAAGCCTCTTCTATTCCCTTCAGCCTAAACAAATACTGTGTTTTCAACTGATTTATGGTCACCTGTCTATCCAAAGGAGAAGGAAGACGTTCATTAGTGAAGTAGACTGAATTTCTATCCCCTACAGGGGACAGAGCAGCCTGGTACCATAGATAACTCATTAGATAGGTCCAAGTCCTCATTTTAAAATCTCTACTAGTTGTGAAATTATGAACAAGTTACCTAATTCTTCTATGCCCTCACTACCTTTTGCACAAAATAGGGACAATGACTCATCCTTAGTCTACTCTTCGAGGCTCAAATGAGATGCCAGATGTGAAATCTCCTTATCACTATAAAGTGGACAGTGACAAATGCGAGGCCCAGGAGAGTCCCAATCATCTCTCTCATGGCACCACTGCAGTTGCCCAGCTCTGTGTGACTTCTGTGAGATAAGCAAGGTGGACAGTCTTGGTTCCCTAGTCTCCTTATATGACTTTCAGTCAATAAAGACAAGAACAAAGATGTGTCCCTAAAGAGGGACTTCCAGGGCCCAGGAAAGACCCAAAAGAATTCATGTAAGTAACTGACATAAACAAATGAATACCAAAAGGAAGCCCAAGGTGAAGAAGACTGAGCAGTCTTGAAATATTAGAGCCGGGAAAAACCTTGGTCATAATCACTGTCTAACCTCAGAAATGAATAAATTATGAATTCTAAGAACAAATAGCATTTACTACGTTCTCCCTACCTACTAGGCACTTTCACACGTAAACTTACTTATTTCCCACAAATGTCTGTGAAAGGAGTATTGTGCTCATTTTTTAGATGGAAACAATAGAAACAAATGCCCCTAAAGGTAACAATACTAAAAACAAGAACAGCAGCAAAAACAGCTAATAATTATTCAGACATGGGTACTTTATATACATTTATTTCTTCAATCATATTTACTAAGAAACCACTAAGATACTGGATAAGAGAGAACAAGGTCTCTGCTTTGACCGAATTTATATTCTAGTGAGGAGATTCAAACCATAAACAAGCAAGCAAATAATCAAGATAATTCCCCAAACACAGTGGGATGTTTTGGGGGAGAGTAACTAGGAGAATGCATCATAGACTGAGGGTTCAGGGAAGGCTTCTCTGAGGATCTGACATTTGAGCTCCACCTGAATAAAAAGACACCAGCCACCCACAGACCATCAGCCAATTTAAGCTTTATACCAACCCTATGAGACACGAATTATTATTACCCCCCATATTACAGTTGAACTTGAGGCTCAGAGATTTTTTAAAAACTTGCCAGAAGTTTCACAACAAATAGAAGACTCATGATTTGAATGTAGGCAATCTGAGTCAGGAGGCCATGGTCTTACATACAACCTTAGAGAACTTCTTTGAAGTGATTAACTCAAGATCACAGAATTAGTGGTAGAGGGCAGATGAGAATCAGCCCCTCTGGATTCCAAGGACAGCCAGCATCATACTCTGTCATGATGCCTCTAGTCCATTACAATGGACAAAGCAGATAAGCAAATGGACAAGGACAAGCCAATGCAAAATGCATTTTCCAATATTAAAACATAAGAAAAGCATCCAGGGATGAGACAAACAGGATATGCCTATATGAGCATGGTGTTCTTTACAAAGATAAATTATGCCCCAAATATAATTGTCAAGAATCCTGGCAGTGACCCCTGGGCCCATATGTCCATGCCTGGGATGCTCCCTCCGGATCCTGTCTTAGAACACAGCACTGGGTTTTGCCTCAGTTCCAAAGTTACAAGGAACAGGCCATATCTACCCTCAATGACACCCATGGAAAGGAAATACAGAAAAAAACTATTCAGGTTGAATGACACAAGATAAAAGACTACTGAAATTCTGTTCTCTCTCTCCTCATGTTGTTATTTGTCTTACTTTTAGGAGTTTTAAGGGTGAAATGACGACACCCAGAACTTCAATGAGTGGAGCTTTCCCAGCAGATTCTATGAAAGGCCCCATTGCCATGCAACCTGTTAAAAAAATCATTCCCAGGAAGGTGTCTACCGTGGTGGGTCCCACACAAAGCTTCTTCATGAGGGAATCCAAGGCTTTGGGGGTGAGTCAGTTGCTCTCCATTCCATATCCTAGGGATTCTCTGGCCTACAGAAGCAGATGCTGTAGGCCAGGTACAGAAACCCATCCAATTTGAAAGTATCTGATCCAACTGGAGGTATTCTTTATGTCTAAAATGGTGGGTCAAATCAGGGATATACAGAGTTTATCACAGTGGTCTATGTCCCCTTTTGATTTTGAGACTTGCATATTTAAGGATCTCCCATCCCAGTTCATCGCCAGCATCCTAGGCATATCTGCCTTAGAAATGCCCCAGGGGGTGAAGAAAATGAATCTGAACAAGACATATGTCTTGGCATCTTTACCACTTCCTTTGGGCATTTTACACAGGCCCAAAGCCAGGGCTTCCACCCTTACTTTTGCTTTCTGACTTGAAGATTATTTCAATTCACCCACCAGTGCCCATATTTTTTTCCCAGGCTGTCCAGATTATGAACGGGCTCTTCCACGTTGCTCTAGGTGGCCTCCTGATGATCCACAAGGAGGTCTATGTACCCATCTGTGTAACTATATGGTACCCTCTCTGGGGAGGCATTATGGTGAGTAAAAATTCACAACCATTGGGGAACGATGCAGACAAAAATGTTAAAAAACTCCACAGAAATATACCAGATTATTTCTGTGTTGAAGAAAGTTGAGTAGGAAATAGGTTGTCTGGTTAAAGTAATTTAGTGGAAAGATGGTTGACTAAATTGAGTATGAATACCATGGTTGAGTTAGTCACATGCTTCATGTGAAGTTGGAGAAAGATGCCCTATGTGAATCTACACAAGGAAGGAAGAATATTAAAAGAATGATCTCTCCAAAGTCAATTTGAAGGGGGCAGGGAGAGGAGCACAAGACATGTGGACTATATTGCATGGTGCTTCCGAAAGCAAAAGGGGATAGGAGCATCCCACTTCCAACTGGTCCTTCTTCCCTACAATCCTGTTTAGTCACTATTGCATGTGGTGGAATTAGTCTCGTCCCCAGTAAATCTCCCATTGCTTATCAGGAGAGCAGCATTCCTTATGGCTGTTTCATGTACATGTTTTCCAAACTTGTAAGCTTGTCTGGGTTGGGTATGGGGCAGCAGTGTTTATATCACCATTGGCTTTTTATAGTTGCTATGATAAAGATGAGTCCAAGGTTGAAATTTTCAGAAGAAGGGGAGATGGATTAGAATAAGAATTTTCTCCATTTTACAGCTTGAGCCGTAGAAAAGGAAAATGAAAAATAATCATTATCACTCCCTGTAGCAGCCAGCATTTTAATGGGGTGTCTATGACATTCAGGCCAAGTATTTCCTCCTTTGATTCATTCTTCATTGGCATCAGTTATATAAATCCTTGTGAACTACAAAGAAAAATTCTACAAAAAAAAATTTTTAAAAACTAAAATAAAACTTTTGAATTCACAATGTGACTTAATTGACATGGAAATGTGAATTCTGCTTCTTTGATTTTTATTATATTTCTAGTCACAGCTCCCTAGGGAGTTGAATAAAAGGCATAGATTCAGTGTACTTTAACCCGAATAACAGAAATATGACCATTGAAAAGTAAATGAATCTGATAAAAATGGCTGGATAGTCTAGTGAAAGTGGTTGAAAATGTGGATAGCTTTTTTACAATCTGTTCTCAATGTTAAAAGGTAATCTCCCTCTCTGTTTCTCTCCCCCTCTGCCGATTCTCCCATCTCCCACACCCTTCCCCACCACCACCTCTCTCTTCACAGTACATCATTTCTGGATCACTCCTGGCAGCGGCACAGGCAAACTCCAGGAAGAGTTTGGCAAGTAATCATATGTTCTTCTCTCCCACACAAAAATATTTAATTTCTCCGTTGAAAACAAAGACCCTAAAAACCTTTGGAAGCATAGTAGCATCGAGTTCTCTCAACCCTAAAAAGCAAAAGATCCTTTGCAATGCTGTTGTGATTTTACTTAAGAAAAACTTGGAAATGAGGTCTACCTGAAATGCTTCCATGGAAACAGAATGAAAGGCAGATGGGTGAAGAGCGTGCTTATGATCTAATGACTGATAATACTGCGTGAGACTAACAGATCTCTTAAAAAACTGTGTTGTTTCTCTCAAGCCACCATTTAGGACAACGGTCTAATCAATGCTATCATTGACTCAAGTACTAGTTAACACTGAGCTGTAACTTTGAGCTCAGTTTACCTCCATGTATCTTCGAGTTTTCACCTGTAAAATGGAGATAACGGTACTTGCTACAATATGACATTGTCATTAGGATGAAATGGAATGATAAAGAGGAAAGTGCTTCAGAAGCCTTTTCGCCGAGAAGAGTTCCACATACCATATGGGTCAAGAACTCACTAGCAAGTTTCCTCCCCCAACTTTTTACAACTGCTAAGTTATTATTGACTTGAGTCACTTCCAAAGCCAGGGAGAATTGAGATGCTTCTCTCTAGAGGTGGTCTAACAAACTCAGTTTTTTGGGGAAGAAACTATTTGAATGTCACATTGTTTTATTCTTCAAATATTGCCAGTCCTACTGACTTGTTATCTGTAGGTCATATAGTCAGGGATGAAATATATGTGTCTTAAAGAAATCATCAATAATCTCATACTGTCACATACATTTTCCTGTTTTGACCTTTAATTGTCCTCCCAAGGTAGAACACGCCCACTGACATCCTCTTACCTACGCTACCATAGGCATCAGCCCTAATGGTATTTTGAAAGACAACTGACTTGGGGCTGACTGCAACCAATGTCAGTAGGGAGCAGGTGGTGGTGTTATTCTTGCAGCTGTTTGTTTCCACTTGACCCAGAAGTGGACCCAGAAGGTTCTGCCTGCCCTTTCCTTACATATACCCACAAAACCATACCACTTCACTGAGATGGAAGAACCTCCTTCTCTCTCTCCCACCTACCTTCTTACACAGACAGATATAGTCAGAATACTATTTGTCTTCATTTACTCAACAAATATTTATTAAATGCCTACTAGGATAGTGACAATGGCAGTGAACGCAAGTGCAAGGGGACAATTTATAAGAATTAAGGGTTACTCCTACAGTTTTTTCTTCATAAACTGATTGGATGGTGATGGCATAAAATGAGATGGGGAAGACTGAGAAAGGAACAAGACTGAGAGATGAAGGTTTTCATTTTACAGTGACAGAGGGAAGTATGATACAGGATGATTTAGGTGTAGTACCTCTGCGAGTTAGAGGAATGAGATCTGGAATTCCTTCCTAGCTTAAATTCTCCAAAAGGAAATCAAACTCAATTAATTACTCTTTATGTCTCCATTTCAGGTCAGAGGGAAAATAATAATGAACTCTTTGAGCCTCTTTGCTGCCATTTCTGGAATAATTATTTTGATCATGGACATATTTAATATTACAATTTCCCATTTTTTTAAAATGGAGAGTCTGAACTTGATTAAAGCTCCTGTGATATATGACATACACAACTGTGAACAAGTTGACCTCACTGAGAAAACCGTTTTATATACACAATATTGTTACAGAATTCGATCCGTGTTCTTGGTAAGTGTAAAATTTGATTTCTTTTCAGAGAGGAAGTGTTGCATTTTTATTATGAGCATCAACTCTAGACCCAGACTGCCTGCATCTGGTACTTCCTTCCTCATGATTTTGGGCAATAATTTTAATTACACTCTGTCTCAATTTTAATAGTGAAATGGGGAAGGTAACTGTACTCGTCTTGTAGGGCTATTTTGAGGGATGAGTTAATATATGCAAAGCATTTAGAGCAGTGTCAGGGATGTAGAAAGTGCTATATAAGTGTTTGCCTTAACATTAATATTATTAATGGTATTACTATTTATTATTATTATTGTTTAAGGTGAACATTGAAGAACTACCTAAGTTGTTATGAATATCTTTTGCCTCAAGGAGTTTTTAGTGTAAAGTTTGAAAGGGGAAAAAAGTGCATATCCCAAGTGTGAAGAGGTTTCCTTGGTATGATACCACCTAAATAAAGTTGGATACAACTAATTTGGGACTGAATAATTATTTCTTCCTATATAGAATTAATTCTTCAACTAAGTATTACTCATTTACTTTCTATCAGCAACATGCATTAATTATTTGTTGTGTGTCAGGAGTTGTACTAAGGGGTAAGGTTATAAAGATACTAGTTGTTCTTTTATTTTCATTAAAAATGTTAATGTTAACATTATTGCAGGTGTCCCCCTTTTCCCCACTTTGCCCACCTCCACCCACCCCTGTTTCCCCCTCCCTTGTCTTTCACCAAACTATTGTGCATATCTTGGGGTATGCATATATGTTCTTTAGCTAATCCCTTCACCTTATTTGTCCAGTCACCCTCATCCCCATCCACTCAGGCAACGACCAGTCTGTTCCATGTGTCTATGCTTCTGGTTCATCATTTTGTTCATTAGATTCCACATATTAATAAGATCATATGGTATTTGTCTTTCTCTAACTGGGTTATTTCATTTAGCATAATACTTTCCATGTCCATCCATGCTGTTGCAAAGAGTGAGAGTCCCTTCTTTTTTACAGCTGCATAGTATTCCATTGTATAAATGTACCACAGCTTTTTTATCCAGTCACCTGCTGATGGGCACTTGGGGTGTTTCCAGATCTTGGCTATAAAGATACCAGTAGTTCATACAGTTAGCCATTACTCACCTAAAGAATTGATCCTTTAATCATTTGATTTTAGTCAACAGTCACTTACTGAGTGCCAACCCTGTTCTTATATTTTTTATTATTAAATTTTCACCCTCCTTTTTCTGTTCTTCTTTAGAGCCTTTTCACAGTGATGCTGATCTTTGCCTTCCTCCAGAAATTTGTAACAGCTGGCTCTGTTGAGAATGAATGGAAAAAGCTGTGCTCCAGACCCAAAGCTGTAAGTAGTAGCCACTGTCCTCAACCTCTCTCTAGGAAAATGTCTTACCAGAAAAAGGATCCTTTATAGGAAATGGAATCCAATGAGATTTTGAGGCTGGTTGCTTAATGAAAAATAGCCTTGGCATATTTCTGGAAAGCAGAAAATACCAATAATGAGCCCTGGCCAGTTTGGCTCAGCAGTTAGAGTGTTGGCCCGCAGACCAAAGAGTCATGGATTTGATTCTGGCCAAGGGTACATTCCTTGGATGCAATTCAGTCCCAGGCCTGGTCAGGGTCATGCAGGAGGCAACCAGTGGATGTGTCTCTTTCTCTCACATTGATGTCTCTCTCTCTCTCTCTCTCTCTCTCTCTCTCTCTCTCTCTCTCTCTCTCTCTCCTTCTCTTCCTCCCTCCCCCTCTTCCTCCCTCCCTCCCACTCTATCTGAAGATAAATGAAAAAGAAAAAAAGAAAATACCCATAATGAGGAAAAATGTATCGAAATTTGAAATAAGTCTAAAGGTTAGACAGAGGATGCAGTTCTATAACGTGCACACCCTCTTCATAACCTTTACTTCTGCTTGACTTCAGGCACCCAGCTTGATGCCATATGTAATGTGTAATAAAAGTAGATGGCTGTAGGTTGAAGGCTGATTAAAGCCACTAGCTCTTCCACTTTCTTTCTCAGTATTCCCTCCTTCCACCCCCAAGCCCCCTACACACATACCACCTTTTCATCTAATCCCTCTTCCATAACAACAGGTTCAAAGAAGCTCCACAACTGAGACATAGTAACATCTATTATCAACTGCTTCTGAACCTTAGAATGCCAGATTTAGAATAGAATTTAGGAACCAGCACTGACTCCTTCATTTTTCAGATGAGGAAAGTAGGATTAGAAGAAAACAATTTTCCCAAAGTTATCTCCAATAAAGGCAAATCAAAATGATTTGCGTGGCAGAGTGGCAAAAAACTGCTGACCTTGAGGATGAGTCTTGATAAGTAATGTCATAAGAATGTGAGCACCTAGGATATCAACCTTGGCACTTGGAAGCACATAGGGAATAAAACACATAGCATAAAAACAAGAAGGTATATGATCAATATTAGTATAGATTGTTGAGACATGCGCCAGTGATAAAGGTCAAGTAAATGTTGTGTCATTTGTGTGCTAGGATGTAGTTCTCCTGTCCGCTGAAGAAAAGAAAGAACAGCCAATTGAAATAAAAGAAGAAGTGGTGGAGTTGACTGAAGTATCTGCCCAACCACTAAATGAAGAAGACATTGAAATTATTCCAGTCCAAGAAGAAGAAGAGGAAGAAACAGAAGCAAACTTTCCAGAACCTCCCAAAGACCAGGAATCTTCACCAATAGAAAATGATAGTGTCCCTTAAACTCTTTTTTATTCGTTTGTTTTCTGTTTCCTTTTTCTCAGCATTAGCAAGAGACACATTTCCTCCCATTTTCCGAGGCACTCTGCAGTCTCCTCCACACCTGTCTCTGGTCTTTGCATGGAGTGAGTACAGCTCCCTCTCTCTCATTCAGAGAATATAGCTATTGTAGTAGATTGTGTCATAATGTTTCTTGCTTGGAGTAGTTTTCTTACATTAAAAAAAAAAAAGGCAGAATGTGATTTTTCACTAGCCTTTGCCTTGGATAAGCCATAGCAGTCACAGCAGTGGTTTTGTTGTTTGTTTGTGTAGTTTTATTTTATTTTATTTTATTTCTTCCCTTCTTAATAGGGAGACTCCACACCTGATGAAAAAGATAAATGACTGTTCCATGTCATCCTTAAACTCTCTCTAATTCCTACTACATCTACATTTTTGGTGGAGTCCTTTTACACCACTGTTTTTAAGGAAAGTAAAATAATGATAATAATTAATAATAATAATAATAATAATGAGAGATGAAATAAGTTCCTTATTTCATCTTTCTTTCTATGGGACTGACACTGTAGCACATTTCTAGAGCCTCCACACCCCGCCAGGGAGGCTCTAAGAGGCCAACCCCCAATCTTTTCTTTGTACAAACAGCACAGCTTATGCATGGCCACGTCTCTATGTCTTAACTTTCCCTAACTCCTGCTCTAGGCTCTTGGCTGCCTTGTCTACCTACTTTCAATCTCTAGGCAAGAGAAGAAAAAATGAAAAAGAACACCAGGCGTATCCACATCTCAAATGATAATCAACACTTGCATTTGTAGAATATTTTTCAGTCAAATAATTGCATTTGATCATGCATGATTAAGAGATAAATCCCTATTCCTGTTTTACAAATGAGTCAAAGAAGCTAAATAATGTGTACATAAGTAAAATAATTTCTCAATTGTCACAGCTGGTAATTTTGAAAGCCTTTTTCACACCAAGATCTTCTTATTCAAATCCTGTAATGTTTGAAATAACCAAATTGCCTACTCAGTGCCCACATAAACTACCAGAGCTAAGTCAACAGGATTTATCAAGCACCTATCCTCTGACCAGCACGAAACAGGTGTTGAGACAGACGTAAAAAAGTCAGAAATCAAATTTTACCACTTGGGGATAAAAAGACTTAGACCTTGAAAAACTACTTACATCATTAATATATAATTAGTTGTCAGATTACATAATGCAGACACTAAGTGCTACAGATATCCTGAGAAAGATCATGCTTGAAAATAACACAGTTAAAATGTCAAATCTCAGACGGCAGCCACTTTACTTCTCTATTCTTATTCATATTCAGAGAGACTAGTACCCTATGAAGAAAGAATGTTGACCTAGGAAGACATCACTATAATTTATCAACTACATCTGAGCATTTGCTACGTGTTGAGTGCTGTCAGATTCTGGCAGGTGCATAGACAATATAATTTCCACTCCCTATGATATTTCCATTTTATTAGGGGCCAGCAATAAAAAATATTTCCTCTGATTAGAAAATAAAAGAGGTAGGACATTTCTTCATCTATGTAAAGTCCTCAAAATTAGCTTTAAATAAATAAAACTATACGCATGTTCTTATCTGGGACAGATGATTCCAGCATGGTGTTTACTCCAGTCTTCTTGATTCTTGTAATGTTACGGAAAAGACTCAGACAGAACACCAGGGCAAGCAAAGAGGTTTCTTTATTTGCACGTGTGGACCCAGAGGAGCAGTCTCCAAATTCTGGGCCCCGAGTTGTAGGGCGCACCTAGCTTTATAGTGGCTGGGCGGGGCATTCTTTGGGCGCGAAAGCGGTAAGCAACTCACAGAAGCAGGAAGCGAAAGGGGTCATGTCATTTCTAAGATGGTGGCTCAGTTAAAGTGGCTGTTTACTTCCTCTATCATTCCCCCCTTTTGATGCTATTAGCTGCTATTGCTGCCAACTGCATCATGATGCAGAGCTCTATAATCTGGGTCTTCAGACCTTTGTAGGAGTTGATATCTGTACTGATACTGTTGGAGGGCCAATATTTTGGCCATGGCCCTCCTGGTTACAGGGGACTATGGTCCGTATTATGAGGTACTTCAACAAACCTGTCTACCCAGGGGCCCCTATGCCTGACACTTCTGACGCTGGTATCCAATAGTCCCTCCCAATTTCCCCGTCATGTGTAATTTATTGTCCCAGACACAGGTGAGGGGTCCAGCCTGGTCGCTACCTGGGAGATAGCATTGCAGGCATTCCACGGGCATAGCAGTGGCATATGTGAAGGGCAATGCAGGGAATCCATAGCTTGCTACTCCTCCTGCAAGTGGTATCCTTTCTGCAGGCCTGCTGTATTTACATACAGGGGCTTGAATTGGGACAGGGTCTGCTAGGCAAAGCATACTAAGTATCCAAAAGCACAGACAAGCCCAAGATCTGTTTCCCCGAAAGCCAGTCACTCCCAGGTATTTCATCTGTTGGGGCTACAGTCATCAGTCTAATTCCTAAGATTACAGCAAAACTTCCCACTGCAGTCAGGTACCATCCTGGGCACTTGTCCATTCCTCTGAGCACCCGTCAATGCCTGGTTTCCTTTTCAGCTTCAGGGTCAGCAACCATGGCGGCTGGTCCACTGGGTCTCCGTCCATCCTCCTGGAATCCGCTGGGTCTGTTGCCCTCTTGGCTCAGCTGTGATGGATCCAGGGTTATTCCTGCAACCTTAAGTGCTGTCCAGAGGCTGGTCCCGCAGGTCTGGTCGGCTGGCAGGCACCTCTTCAGTTGTCTCGAGGCAGTCGTGATCTGGTTCTCCCAGCTCAGCAGGGAGGAACGTAGCCGGGTTTATTCTCCAGACAGTGCTGACTCTCACTCGGCGATTCTCATGGAGAAGTGCCTAGTACTGTGTCAGCCTCGGGTTGGAGAGCCATTTGTGTCCCTGTCCAGCCAGAAGGCTGGATACCACATGGGGAACAAATATGTTGATCTCTTGACCAAGTGTTAGTTTGCCTGCCTCCTGTAAGAGAGTGACAGCTGCAGCTATGGCCCTCAGGCAGGGCGGCCAGCCTGCTGCCACATCGTCCAGTTGCTTAGACAGGTATGCAACTGGCCTTTGCCATGGTCCTATTGGTTGCATAAGGACCCCTAATGCTATTTTCTCCTATTTGTGCATGTAGAGGTTGAAAAGCTGTCGGGTCTGGCAGCCCAGGGCCGGCATGCACCCAAGATGATCTTTTATAGCCTGGAAGGCTTTCTCCTGTTCAGCTTCCCATAAGAGGGGTGCTGTGTCTGGGCCTTTCAGCACTTGGTAAGGTGGTTTGGCTAATGCTGCATACCCCGGTATCCAGATTTGGCAGAACCTGGCCGCTCCTAGGAACTCTCGAAGTGCCCTCCGTGTGGCTGGAGTTGGTAGACCCATTATGACCTGCTTCCTTTTCTGGCCCAGGACCCATTTCCCTTGGGTCCCAGATATTTTACCTGGGCCTGGCATATCTGAGCTTTCTTCCATGAGGCCCAGCACCCTGCCTTTGTTAGCAGTTCAAGAAGCTGGCAGGTACCCTCCCAGCACCGGTCCAATGTGGGGACGGCTAGTAGGAGATCATCTACATATTGTAGCAGCACTACGTCCATTTCTGTATCAGTAAACCGTTTTAAGTCTCTGGCCAGGGCCTCTCTGAAGAGAGTGGGTGAATTTTTAAATCCTTGAGGCAATCTGGTCCAGGTCAGTTGGGTCTTTGCCGCAGTGTGGGGGTCTTCCTATTCAAAAGCAAAGAGTGGTTGGCTCACCTTTGCAAGTCGGAGGCAGAAAAAGGCGTCCTTCAAGTCCAATCAGGTGAACTGGCCGCCTCCGGCGGGAGCTGGCTGAGGAGCGTGTGGGGGTTCGGAACCGCGGGGTGCAGCGCGATCGCTGCCTCGCTCACTGCTCACAGGTCCTGCACCGGCCTGTGTCCGCTCCCATCTGGCTTCTTCACTGGCAGCAGGGGAGTGTTCCAGGGGGACTGGCCTGGGACAAGTATACCTTTCCTCAGACGCTTCTGGATGACCTCTGTGATGCTTAGCCAGGCCTTCCTGGGGATGGGGTACTGGCGGATCTGTTTCGGTCTGGCTCCAGGCTTCAGTTCTATAATTATAGGCGAATGGTTCCCTGCCAATCCTGGCGGGTTGTCTTCTGCCCAGGCCTTTGGGTATCTCTTTTGAAGGCCAATCCCCCTTCCCTCTGTGGACTCCCATTGGTCTTCCTTCACTTCCTTACATAATCGATATTCTTCCCGGGGAACTAAGACTGCTATGAGGTGTGGGGTGCCAACTTGTAAGTGAGCCTCTCCCGACTGGCGAAAGGAGATCTGGGTTCCTAGTTTAGAAAGCAGGTTGTGTCCGAGGAGCGGAACCGGGCACTCTGGCATGCACAGGAATTCGTGCTTTAGGGGATGGCCCCCGAGTTCTACAGTTCAGGCTTGTCTAAACTGGGGCCACTAGGCTGTCCAGTGGCGCCAATGATAGAGATCTCGCGCCCTGAGGGAGGTGCAACCGCGGTTGTTACTACTGACTGTTCAGCCCCAGTATCTACCAAGAAGGGGAGGGTTTGACCCCCTACTGTCATTTGGACCATGGGCTCATGGGGGCCAAGGTGTAGTGAGCCTGGTCTCCCCTAGTCCAAGTCTAAGCCTGTCAAACTGAGGATGGTCGGCGCCTGGGTCTCAGGTCCCGATTGCCTATTGGCCTGCCTTTTCTGCTTTCGGTTGGGACATTCTCTTTCCCAGTGTCCCCTTTCTTTGCAGTGTGCACATTGGTCTGGTTCCACACTCCAGTATGTAGGCTTGTTTTATCCTTCTGGCCGCCGGTCTTTCCTGGGTGGCAGGGGCTTTCCTAGCGCGGCTGCTGGGAGGGCTGCCTTTTTCCCCATTTTCTTTCTAGCCTCCCGCTCGGCCGCCTCCTCTCTGGTATTGTACACCTTGTTGGCAATCTCTATTAGTTGGCTTATGTTCATTCCGGCAAAGCCCTCAAGTCTCTGAAGCTTCCTTCCTGATGTCTGAGGCTGAGTGGGAGACGAACACCATGTTGACCAGTCTCTGGTAGTCTGGCCCTTCAGGATCGAACGGGGTGTATACCCGATAGGCCTCACACAGACGTTCGCAGAAATCCCCAGGGCATCCCTCACCACTGAGTCACATTAGCTACCTTTGACATGTTACTAGGCCATCGGGCCCCTGCCCGGATTCTGTGGAGAAGGGCATCCCTGTATCTCAAGTGCAGCCCTTCCTTCTTCTGAGTGGTGGTCCCAGTCAGGTTGGGCCTCAGATGCTGTGCTCTGGCCCATTGGGCTGGATCTAAAGTGCCCATGGGCGCCGTGGTCTCCAGATATCGGTGGGCTTCCTGGAGAATGCGCCTTCTTTCCTTGGTGTTGAACAGTGTGAGGAGTAGCTGTCAGTAGTCGTACCAGGTAGGATGATGCATCTGCATGATGGACTCCATAAGGTCAACAGGGCCTGGGGTTTCTTCGAGTAGGATGGAGTATGGTGCTTCCAGTTTAAGAGGTCAGTGGTGGTGAATAGTTGGCAATAAATGATGGTCCGTCCTGGCTGCTCGGTACCATCTGGCCCAATTTGTGGTGGGAACTGAGTCTCCCTGAGAGGCATCTGGAGTGGCTGCCATTGCCAGCACCTTGTCGAGACAGGGAACGCCGGGGGTGCTTCTGGGGCTGGTGAGACAGATGGTAGTAGAGTGTTGATTTTGGAGGCCCAGAGGACCTTCTCAGACACATATGCGGGGGTAAGTGGACAAGAGGTTCTTCCTCTGGGTTGCCTTTGAGAATGGGGCATCAGCATGCCTCCTTAGATTGAGCCATGAGGACATGGGCAGGGACTGCCCGCATTTGGCAAGGTGAGGTCTTTTTCTTTGTTCCAATTACCCCTGCCAATTTTGGCTTCTGCCCAGAACAGCGTTGGAGCCACTTTGGCATGTTCTGAGCTAGTTCCTGCCATCTATCTATGTAGATGTACTGGTCTGGGTGTCCTGGCCTCCCTGTTACTATCAGATGTACTGCCCTTATGATTTCTAGGCTGAGGGTTCCCTCAGGGGGCCAGCCTACCCCAAAACTAGGCCATTCAGCTGAACAGAAGGTTACCAATTGGCTCAGGGTTATGCTCAGATCCTGGCCCCAGAACAGATCACATTCTGCAACATGCAGTTGAGTACTGTTGATGGGCCTCCTCCCATGGTTTCTCCTCCAGTAACAGTGCAGACAGACAAGGGGTGGGGGTTTTTGGTTTGCCCACTTGGCCACTCCCCTCGTAGGGATTTAGGTGTCTCTTAGCTTTGGCAGGTCAGTATAAACCCCTGACTCGGATCAGGTTTGCAGGGAGGGACTGTGTCCCCCAGAACCTGATACTGCCCTGAGCCATATGAGGTCACCACAGTACCATAGGTTGGGGTTCACTCAGACTCTGCAGGCTTGCACCAGTGGAGCCACACAGACATTCACACTCATTCATTCACTGACATTCAAATGAGTTTGAACATTCCCTCCCCTTAGGGCTTGCCCTACCTGGATGCCAGAAGACCTCAGAGATGATCAGTTTCTCCTTCCACCTCAAGGGTGGGCCT